TCCTAAGTGTCTTCGTCAATAAATGAAGTCCGCCAGCTCGCACTTAGCCAGCGTGGTGAATTACAACTTACATCTCTTTCATATTGAAAGAAGGCCGCCGTAGAACTTATTAAGAGTTGAATCTTCGGAAGTTATCTGTGATTTACCTTTTTGGATTCTACCCTCTATTTTTCAAGGAACTTTACAGTATCAACTATTAAGAACTAAAGTAAACAGTACCCAGCAAAATCTCGATATATAACATATCTTTTTATTTACATGACATCTAAGGTAGTGTTAACTATTTTTCCAGTTTTCATTTCAAATTTGTTTAAAATTTTGAATACTTTTAGGCGCTCTCTAGGCTGTACATAGAAAAAAAGGTATACTTAAACTTATAAATTAAAAATATAATACACCCCCTACGCATATTAATTGGCATTTAAATTAAACTGGCACGCGTGAAGCATTTAATCGAGTAATCATACGCCAAAATGCCTTACATCATTTTGGAAAAGAGCTGATACTCTTACACTGCTGTACCGATATTAACCAAACATAGCTAAGAACCACCGCAAGGAAACTGGCTTACAAATGAAAAAACCGCATCGAAATCGGTCCATCCGTTTGAGAGCTATGATGCCACAGACAGACATCGACGTCAAACTTATAACACCCCTCTTTTTGCGTCGGGGGTTAAAAATAATAAATAGGCTTATTTAGTTCTTGTATTCACCTACTATGACTGCAGCGACTATATTACACTGATATATGTACATATATTAGTGGTAAAAAAGATAAAAAATGTGAATACATAATCGGACTACTATTATTACATGCGAAACTTTGTGTGTGTCTGTTTGTCACTTCTTTACGCTAAAAAGGGCAGACGAATTTGGATGTAATTTTAGACACAGACAGAGCTGGAGAAACACAAAGACTATTAGGCACTTAGGAACTTATAAACTTTGATACATAAAATACATTTTTAAAATACTTTTAATGAACAAACATATATTTTTTTGCACCTGTTTTATACATTTGCTTTGTAAGAAAAGCAAAACAAATACCTACTCTGATATACAGTAAAACTCTAAACTAGACTATTAGCAAGATATAAATAATTATTTTAACTTTGCGAGTTTTGTATGTACGTACGTACATAACGCGCCCTTACACCTGTAGGTACATGAACTAAAAAATATCTGTGTTAAAGAATATTATCCTTGACATATTATAACAATTTAAATAATAAAACCTACATTGAAATATACAAATTCCTTCCGCTATTTATAAATAACAAAAAGCATTTGAATAATTTATTCTTAATGTTTCACGTTTGATCTATTCTTTTTGTTGACAACAAATATTTCCATTTTAAATCTGGAAATGCTTTTGTAACAATACTAGTCGTCTCCTGGGGCTCCCATATTGTTGTTAAAAACCACAGATAGATACATAAAAACATAGACACACAGACATACACATTCACAGACTATTTTTGAATGGGGGGCTAAAAAAAGTATACATTTAACAATTAAGGCAATTATTTCACCCTTGAGCTGTAATAATAATATAATCTATTAATGAAAAAAGTATCATGAAAATGAACTCACTGATGAATGAATTGACGCGAATGAAGTACCTCCTCCTTTTTTGAAATCGGTAAATAATGGATCATGGTCAAAAATGGATAAATTGTATTGTATGTAAAATATAATCCTACTTTTCGTTTGTTTTTTTCTAGGAACTACGAGTATATAATGCAGTGGTACTTTATCTGGTCGGCATTATTCGTTAACTATTATAGGAGATCCACGCTTCGAGTTTTTTTTTTATTTATTTTTTATTTGGGGAAATGGTTAATTACGCATTGACTTACATATAAAATTAAAGGGTAAGAGGGCAATTATGACTAACTTTCTCCCCAAAATTTAAATTATTCGATGGTAATAACTCATAAAAATTTAAAACAATAAAACTTAATGATATATTTCTGTTGAACTTTCAGAAACCTTTTCTATAGAGTATTCCAAAGCAATAATAATATTATTTTCTTAAAATAAACTTTTAAGCAAAGCTTCATAGATGGTTTAGGCGATGCGTCGGCGGCCAATTAGCCGATGGCACAATCCTTTTACGTCCAATACATATAATCAATCTAATAACAACTTTTGGTAAAATAAAACGGTAAAATTAAATTAAGCTGTTATAAATTAAATCCTTACGTAGTCCAGCTCTAAGTTAATATAACGGAATGTATCATAAAAACGCGTCCCACGATTGCACGAGCGAGAGCATATTGGTCGCGACCTAGTTACTAGTAGGTACTCGTAAATTGGTCGCAAGTTAAAAAAACTACTATATAGCCAAATAATCTCTTTAGCTAATTTTCTTGTCATAACTGGTTGGTCTTTGTAACATATAAAACTGTTTTTGTTTCGTAGTGAACTAAGTTTAGATAGAATTTACACTTGAAGCCATTTGCACCAAACTCTTAACTTGATTTAAATATCAGGTAAAAGAATTTTATAGACGAAGATATAGATATAGACATTTTTGGCGAAAAATGTCAAAGTAAAAAATAGTAGCCTAATTTGTTGCTTATGCTACTGTTCTCGATTTTGCCATACAGGTCGCTTACTTTTAAAAAAATCTTTTAGTTTGTCTTAAAGAATTAGGGAAATTCTATATTGATACTAGTAGTTAAATTACAAATACATATAGGACGAATAAAAAATAATTATTCGTCCTTCATAACATATACATATAAATTATAAGGAAGGACGAATAGACTAATAAATTACTAAGTAGAGTAAGTAGCTCGGCTTAGCTCGGTAGGTTAAGATTTTTTTTTTGCATACAGGAACTCCCGCACTATAAATAAATTTTGAATCCTAAAGACTGTTGAATTTAAAAATCGTTGGGTTTTTAAAAAATAAACTAGCTCGGTAGGTTAAGGTTTTTTTGTATACAGAAATTCCTGCACCTAGAAATCATTTATTTTACATTAGACAAAAAAAAAAGTGGAAAATATTCGTAAAAACCGACAATAGTCCGACGAATAATATATTTTTTATTCGTCCTATTAAAGTACAAATAATTATTTTTTATTCGTCTTTATTTTAAGTACGAATAGCAACAGCCATAAAAAGAACACAATATTATATATTTTAAGCATTAGTTCCCTTCCCCTTGAAAGAGAGATAGCATGCCATAATAAAATGCCCTGGCTATTTTTATTTTTAACATTTATTTACTTATCACAGTTAAATGAGTATTCTATTAATATTTGTATACTATTATAAAACATCATTGTGAGATGTGATGTTTAGTTCTATGACACTATGTTTTTCCTTAGTCCGACTTTAAATATCAAATGTGAAATTCTCCTACTTGTATTGTTTTTGGATGTTAATATTATTAATTTCAACATTAATCGCTTATACTCATTAATACCGGAAATACCGACCTCATTCAATGTTTGCTGAGTTATTGAAGAAAGTAACAAGATACGAGTATAATCGTTGTCGTTCCCATGCTTTATTTGAGGTCTTATAGAGTAAAAATAAAGCGTAATTATATATTTTACTAGCATTGCCCGCGGCTCCGCCCGCGTTCAGATGACCAAAAACTAAATTCTTAGGTGTTACATATTAGTATACTCTTACATTGCAGTTTTTGTATTTTTCCTCAGAAATAAGATATTTTCCCGCGGTAAAAAGTATCCTAGGATCGCGCGCTACATCGCCCGGTTTATATAGCTTGAGCAGGCGGTCGAGCGATGCGGGGCAGAGGGGATGGACTCGCCGTAGGCATCTCAATGCTCGCCAAGCATTAAAAATGTTTCGCTACTAATTACTTCTAACAACGATATCTCAAAAACTATTCATCTGATTGATTTAGTGTAAAGAGCAATTTTAATCTGCATTAAATGACTAAGCTAACTAAAATATTCATTTGGATAAGGATTAATACCGAACTAAAGAAAATAACTTTGAAAATAACGTAATGTTTTTAATTAAAAATGTTAACATAAAAGTGGTTATTGTAAGTCAACCGTAAGAGATAGAGATATGCTATCGCGGACTTTTTTGTAGCATTTTTATAGATTTTGAATTCTCTAGTACATTACTTAACTGTATCTTTGCTAGTTTACGCGGCGTTCGCGTGGAAAGTTCCCATTTGGCGAGATTTTTTGCGACCTCTTCAACATTTGTCGCCGTATTTCAGCTAATTTACATAAAAGCATAATAAATTATATACCTAAACCTTCCTCAAGAATTACTCTTTCTATTGTTGAAAACCGTATAAAAATCCGTTCAGTAGTTTTCGAGTTTATCGCGTTCAGACAGACAGGAGGACAGACAGGAGGACAGACAGGAGGACAGAAAGACGCGGCCGGGGGACTTATTTTTATAATAAGTATAGATAATACCACGTCTGCTACTGTGCTATCACTATAAGGAACTTAAGCAAAACAAAATAAAAAATATATAATTAAAATTTCATTAGTAAAATGTAAAAAAAAAGTTTTAGAAATAAGTAATCAACATAATATTATTAAATTGATGTACTTTCGACTAGCATATGCGATTACGGATCCAGAGGTCCTGGATTCGAATCCCGGATCGGTTTGAGTATGAGGTTTTTTTGTCAATAAATTCTCAGTAACAGCCCACAGTTGGGAGGTTGGCGGCGTTTCATCTTCGTGCCTCAAAAAGCACGTAAAGCCTTCGGTCCTGCGACTAATATTCGATGATCGTGTTAACAACCCACCGGAAATGATATTTAAAGCACGCGTTTATTGATCGTGGACTAAAAAGGACAAAATCAAACGAAGCTGCGCGCAAATATTAGTTTTATATAACACGAGAAATTACTTACCGAAACTATCATATCACTTTTTATCACGAAATAATTTTGCGTTACTTCTGAGACACTTAATAAAGTGTTTTTAAAATATTTAAACTTATGCTATATTTTGTACTATATTAATTTTGATTTTTGTATTCTTTCAGGTGCTGTTGGTGTTTTCACTCGCTGAGGTTTCATCACGACCTTCAAATAATGAGTAAGTTATCTTTAAGAAAAACTTAAATATAATAATATATTATTAATACTTTAATTGTACAGCCAGATTATTAAGCAACATAACATTTAAATTTTAGGCGAGTAGAAAGATTTAGGAAAGCTCATGTTTAAATATAAGAAATACCTACTGTTTCATGATAATAATTACAGCCTATCCGCGGAATATCTTAGATTGTTTCAATTAACACAACTTATTTTTTTTATTGTACATTCACATAACGTACGTTATGCCTTCTTTTGTCATTCTAATGTGTACATAAATATTTATTTAATATATTCTATTTTCCGACCCCTATATGTTAAAAAATATTTCAAATCTCTCAGCTAACAGTGGGTATATTATAAATTGACGTTGATTCCCCATATAAACATTCATTTCCATTATCACCCCCTCAAGGGATGATTTCTGGAATAAAAACTATCCTATGTTCTTTCCAGAATCTTAAACTATCTTCTTACCTAATTTCATCTAAATCAGTTCAGTAGTTCCAGAGATTACTTCCTACAAACAAACTCACAAACTTACAAACTTTACCTCTTTATAATATTACTATAAATTAGTGTGATTCGTTAAGGAACATTGATTAAAATAAAAACATAATTGCACCACAACATTGAGGACTTGCAATTAATCTCACAAAAAATACTTAAAATATTAAAACTTAATCTATATTTTCTGTATCATTAAATGCAAATGTTAATATCTTGATATCCGTAATTATGATTTGTATAGTTAACCTGTTGTACATACATAAATAACGTAAGCTTTTAATTTAAATAATGGTGTGCACCAAACTAACAAGTAATTGAGTATGAAGACTGAAGCTTCTTTCTTCGACTTACTCGTGGGAGGCTAACGGTTCAAGTATGCTGTTTACTGTATTCTATGCTAAGAGCACCGCTTTTTTATATACACGCTATCAATAAAAAGCTTTTTTTATTATATAACGTATAATTATTCTCACGACTTAATTTTTTTTTTCAGGTCGCTTAAATCTCAAGAGGAATCATCCAAAGTAGTCAAAGCAATCGTCGAAAAAGAAGATGGATCTATATTCTATCAAACAAATACTGATATAAATTCCGAAGAAGACAACACAAAAGATATTGTCGAAAGAATTAAAAATATAAACAACGGTTTACACTTCGTATCTCGAAAACCGATAAATCTTAACGAGCCTACACGTGAGAAAACTAATGGGTTAGATAAGGAAACTCTACAAAAAATTCAACAAATAATTGCATCAGCCAACCTTATAAAGTCAAATTCTCATAAACATAATTCAAAAGATTTGAGTTCAATCGATGAGCATTATGGAGAAAATTCTTATTCGAGAGCTCTTAAATATACACCGAATATGTTCATGCCAAGTCCGATATCACTTGTCCCATATCCATATATGATGAATATGCCAATGATTCCAGTACCTGTTAATGAAATGTTTGGTAACGACTTGATAACGAATGATGTTAAATCTGCTATACCAAGCGATACATTCAAAACAAGACAACGACAACCATTATTCCCTGGATTTCCGTCATTCCCTTCTTTTTCATTTGGAAACTTTCAACTTGGCCAGTGGCCTTCACTATTTCCTATCTTGATAAAAAATCCAGTGGTTGCTTTAAACCAAGGTGGCGGCTGGGAGAATTTCATCGAATATGGTCAAAGTGCTGATGTATGCAGCAGAAAACAAAAATCTTCTGACGAAGAAAATTCACATAAAGACATTTTAGAAGCTATTCAAAACAGTTTACGTGATCTTAACAATGAAGATATCCATGCAACTAGTGCAATTTCACTAGTCAATTCGAAATCCAGAGAAGCACGAGCCGTTAAAAAACGAACTGTAGATAATGAAGCACCTCAACAAGAAGTAGAAGAAAGCAGTAAGACAGGGAAAAAGTTATATACAGCTAAACCAACAGCCACTCGCAAGTCTACTAAAAGACCTGTAATTGAAGAAACTAATGAAGATGTAAAGCATGCGGACACAGAAGGCGATTTACGGTTTCCTTTTGGTGATTTTAGTTGGTTTGTAAATAAGAAAACTCCAATTCCTAGTCCTGGGTTTTTAATAAATAAACTAAAAGTTCGTAAAGGTGGAGTGGCGATTGCTGGTCCAGGAGGTATCGCAACAGCTGGAAGAGGTGGTACAGCTATCGTTGGACCTGGAGGCTTGGCGTATACCAAGCCGGGTGGTCTAGCCATTGCCGGACCTCATGCTCGCGTTGTCGCGCTTTCTCCCTATGCAGATCTAAATTCACTTGTTCACCGTCTACCTCATCAAGGCGATTATTATTTACAAAGATCATTCGAGAATTTACCAATAAGAGAAGGAAAATTAGTAGCAACCGGCCCTGTTATTTACTATCACCCCACCAAAGAAACGTCCACCAAAGAACCCCTTCCCACACCTGAATAATGTAAAATATTAATTAACTAAGCTATTTGTCGTTAGATTCTACGAGTTTATAATGAAGAACCGCTGGGAGGGCCCTCAAAAGAAAAACAATGAAGTTTACAATTACGACGGTGACAAGTTCGTACCGTACCTTCAACAAGACCCTACGTATATTATAGATATAAGCCCAAGGGCGTTGGCTGTGGGTGGGATGCATGGCGTGGCTATATCTAATCCTAAATCGAATGTTATTTTACGAAAAGGTCAAGTTGCTTCTATAATACACAGCCCTATAGCTACTGCCATCGTCGGAGCAGGAGGTATAGCCCACGCAGAGTCTGAACTAAACGTATACGAATATGATATGGATTAATTTTTAATATATTAACTAAATCGAAAAGTAATTTCGACTATTCTTGAAAATATTTTTCGGAGATATGTATTAATTTCAATAAATTTTTCATTTAATACATAATTTTGTTTTATTTTAACTAAAAATTCTTTTTTAATTTTTATTTTATTTATTTATTTATTTATAAACACTAAATTAATTATATGCAATCAATCAGTTTGGTAGTAATAATTTCCAAAAGCTATGGATATATATTATTTATACTTACATCTACAGTATGGATATACTTAACACAAAAACTAATCTATTCCACGGAAACCGTACATTCTCCGGGATAAAAATTAGTGTATGTGCTACTCCAGAGTCAAAACTAAAAAAACATCCAAACTTCCATCTAAACTTTCATATTTATAATATTAGTAAGATGGGATCATGCTAAAAGCTATATATATATATATATATATATATATATATATATATATATATATATATATATATATATATAGCCTATTCGATGACATAATAAAATAGATTTACAAAAGTTATTATTAATAGTGTAGAATAAAGTAACCACTATATCTCTGTTCGTTACGATGTATCGAGCTGGTTTCTTCTGTAATAGCTTAAAAAATTATGCCAGTGATGCAATATTAAAATTGGTTATCATTTTATATAATTCAGAATAATATACAATAATGTTATTATTAAGTATCTATATCATAATTAATAAAGTAATTATGTACTGGTAACAAAGCGTGATCTACTAGCTATTGCAAAAAATAAATCGATACGAATACTTAATACATAACAAGTTAAGTATATAATTTTAATTCTAGACGATATATTGTAAATAATTAAAACGTTAAAAAAATTGATTTAGAATGCTTGATTTAACACAATACCTGTTTATGTTATAGTGCTGCAACTCAGTACATACCTTTCTATGGCGGCGCAAAAGGACAATATTTAGAAGTCAAAAAAGACACACAAGGGTCAATCTTAAGCGAGAAAGTTGTAGCTGAAGAAAGCATAAGTAGCGAGAATATACTCAAAAACAGTGATGAAAGTCTTTTGTCTAAAGTATTGGCAGCAAACCTACAAACCCTAAGGTCCCTATCGAATAACCTTCTAAAGTTACAAAATATAGGAAGAAAAACTGGAAGTTTGGGCAATCAAGAAAAGACGACGTTTAAAAGCCAACTGTTTTCACTTGGAGAAGCTGCTTCGAATACGATAAAACTCATAGATGAAATAGGAGAAGATATTGATGTATTGTTCAAAAGGAATGCGACGCTTGTAAGAAAATATGACGATAACTATGATGACGACGTGAGTAATAGATAAAATTGTTTTAATGATTTTTTTACTTTATACTTCATCTTGAGGGTGACATTTTTTCCTACCTGTTCATTACAAATAATCTCTAAAACTGGCTCAATTAGAAGATAAATCGTTACGTATGAAAAAAAACTTGCGAATTAAGCATCTCCTCTTCTTGAAGTCGGTCAAAAATTTAAAAAGTTATGTTAAAAATTATTACGCTAATACAAGTTAAATAATACTACTAATACTCACTCGCTACCAGTTCTATAAATTAATAGAATAAAAGTAAATTCAATTATTTCATTAATTGTTAGAAGAACAGCTAATACCAAGTTTGAAGCAGACTTAACTAAAATAATATTCCATATAAAATTCGCAACTTTTAAAGATCCGCTATAAAAATTGCTGCAGGTTGTTCTGGGTGTTGTTGAAGTCAGAAGTTATATCTTGAACATGTGAATTATTTTATATACATATAATATAATATAGCGTAAATATTATATTAATATTGATTGATTCGAAATCTTTCAAAGCATTTTGAATGAAGTAATAAGAAATTAAATTATATTTCTATACTTATATAAGGTTGGCGAAGAAGGCATCAGTATCGATTCTCCGCCAAACTCCGATGAATCTTACTACGATGGAAAACTCATTGCTGACGCAAAACCTGTGGGTAAGTCTTACACTTAGTGCTATTGTGTTGTGCTTATAGCTTTAATAACAAGTAGGCATCAAATATTGCCCACAAGTATAAAATATTAGTGACCTACCTTTTTTCGCACAAGTGATTTAGCTCAGCTGGTAAAATTTTGGCTAAAAACTTAATTATTACTGAAATAAAATATAGCCTATGCAACTTTTTGATAGTGTAGTTTTACAGTGGTAAATGAATTATGAAAATCATTTCAGTCGTTTCAGAACTTATACAAACAAATCTTTCGTCTTTATAAGTATAGACAAATATAGTACATATATGATGATGATGTTCTCCTAGCCGATTCCGGCCACGGCGGCCAATCTCAATGAGATTAGCCAACTGCGCAGGAGATATTATAGTGCTCAAGTGTACGCGCAGACACAAGTGCACTCTCTATTCCTATCACTCTCATACTCCGGTGGGACGACCACTCGACACGACCGGTGAGAGTTAAGGCGCAGGACCGACGGCTTTACGTGCTCTCCGAGGCACGGGGGTGAAACACCGCCAACTTCCCAACTCCGGGCTGTTACTGAGACTTACTATACAGGAAGACTCAATAACTAAACTTGGCCCGACCCGGGACTCGAACCCAGGACCTCTGGGTGTGCAGCCGTACATGCTAGCCACTACACCACCGAGGCAGTTAAATAAGTTATTTTAATAATATATTACTTACCCTAAGGTCTATACGTAAATCATGTAGTTTTCTTTTTTATCAGGGTTAGCAGTTGTCGGTGATAGTGGACTAGCGGCTTCTCGGCCTAAGGCTACTGCAGTGGCAGCGTCCGGCATCGCCATCGCTCGGCCTATAGCGACAGCTATCGCTGGTATCAATCCTGCGCATCTTGGCATCGATTATAATGTCAACCAAAAGGAAAAAAATGTTAGATATAAGGGAAAATCGGTTTAACCCACAAAAGTATACGCGTATAGTTAACTAAAAAGTTAAGTACCTACCTACTTTAACTTTGTAAAATGTATGTGGAGAAAGTAAAAAATATTTTGTAAAAGCAACGGAATGATAATTTGACCATTTGTTTAAATTTCCTTCCATTTGCTTTCATTTCCTGTAATTAGCTTCTATTCTAAATGAATATTTGACGTTTAAATGTAGTAAAATATATTTTTTTGTCATTGAGTATAAGTTGAAACGTTGAATGTCCTAATGAATAGATTATGAAAAAAAGCAATTTAAAGTTTAGAAGTATAAAAGTATAAACTTTTTACTATGTAGATTTTTGGACAATCCTCCTTCTTTACTAGTATGTCATGAACATTCCCAGTTTTTTTTTTGCTTTGGGCATAGACAAAAATGTACTTTTAGCGACATCGGTTAAGTATTTATATAAACCAGTGGTTGGAAATGCAAGTACCGTATACATAGATTCGTTACCAGTACAAAACAAAAAAAATGTGACTTTAACTACTCTTTGCCTGTACCCTTCTGTTTTAGTTCTAGCCATTTTGTACTAATGAAGAAACACTAGAAGTTTTTTTAAAAAAAAAACATTGTAATGATACTTTTTTGAACTATTAAGTAATAAATATAGAATAAAATATCTTATTGTATAAAATTGAACTTTTCATAAAGTATAGTTTATAATACAAAATAGACAAATATATAATCGAATTTATTCTGCTAGAATTAATTGTTAATAAATAATTTAAAATTTTACATAATATTATTTACAAAATATAAAGTAAAATTGTACATATGAAATGAGTATATTAATATAATATTTTTTTAAATAAATAAAATTTCATTGATGAAATATTTTTTATTTTTGACAAATATATTGTCTTTCAGGTATCAGAATTATTCATCAAATAATTATATACTGACCGACAAAGAGCTAAACCAGCTATCGGCCGATAAACAGTCTTTGTTTTTCGTCGTATTTATCTGGTTAGAAAATCTTTTACTTACATGAGATAACACAATAAATATAACATTCACAAAATGCGAGTATAACTTGTAAGTTATATTTAATACATAAAATGTTGATAATCTTTTAAAATATGTTAAAAGCGACAAACATGTTAACGAAACAATACATACATGGGCGCCGGGAGAGGGTACAAGGGCCCCCTTGCCAAAATATATAGAAAAATTAAAGAAATAAAATTACATGAGTAAAATCCCTGTTTTTTAGATATCTTCAAAGAAGAGACGATTAAAAAGATATGAATAAAAATTATAAAGTTTTAAAGATTAGTTAAGAGTTTAATGTACAAAGCAGATGCACCTTGGAAATAATTCTGCCGCCGTCCATGTATACATAGCAAAGTTACAATCAAAATTTAACAATAATTAAGCAATTTTTACGACAAAAACTTTTCAAGTAGGTATATTATCTTATTCATTGGATATGTATAAAATGGAAACAGCGCCATCTAGTGAGGAAAAGAGGTATCACTTTCTTTTATTTGTATAAGTAATGAATGATTCTGAATCTAGAATGAGAATTCATATACACAGCACATTATTTTAGTCTAAGATTCCTAAACTATTTTTTATTTATAGCTGTACCTCGTGTACCTAAAAACTTATCTACAGATGAAATAAAACTTTTTTGAATTAATGAACATAACTAATAGTAATTCAGGTTTAGTACCAGTAGACTAAAAAAAATACATAAAGAGACGAAGTTGTATCAATACTAATATTATAAATGTGAAAGTTTGTGAGTATGGATGTTTGTTACTCTTATACGCCATAACAGCTGAACGGATCTGGATGAAATTTGGCATAGAGATAGATTATTCTCTGGAATAATACATAGATTTTATCCCGGAAAAATGCACGGTTCCCGTGGGGTAGGTATGTTTTTGTTTTCGTAGAGGCGAACCCGAGCGAAGCGAGCGTGAGCCGCTAGTAATAATATATGTAGGATGTATACCGATGCGTCAGATAGCATCTGTTACTTATGCATCTAAACTCATAAATGGACATATTATACCGATCTAGATACGTGATTATCATAATGTTAATAATAATATGCAAAATTCATTACATGTTTTATCTAAATATGATATATGTGTGACAGAACTTGGCTGGGGAGATGGATAATATTAGCAACTTACTAACGCTCTCCATGAATATTGTAATTGCTATGAAAATAGTGTGGTACAGATTGTAGTTCAGATTTTTTCTTAAAAAAAATATTCACGCTATAACGTTTGTTGACATTTGACACACGTCTTAGATTGTTTCAAGAGATCATAACCCAAGACAAGCAGGGGTCATCACTTGAAATACTATCTTTTTAAAATAAATATATTACCTCCATTTTCGACAAAAAACGTCTTGGTTAAAATTATATATCATGTATAATCTATCTATATAAATAAAAATGAATATTGGTAAGCGCATAACTGAAGAATGGCTGGACCAATTCGGCTTATTTTTTTTTCGTATGTTCCTTAAGGTCCACGGAAGGTTTTAATAAAGAGAAAAAATGAAAAATTAAAAAAAAATTAAATGGCTAACGCTGGCTAATAACTATTTATATCTATTTAAAACGTACCTAGTAGTAACGTAGTATATAAATAATAATCTTAACTTACAGTTAACTATATCTTTTTCACTTATTCTATTGACTTTTTTTCTCACAACATCGACATCATAATGAGCTCTACAAACTACATATATTCGTTATATATTCAATACTTCTACATGAACTAAATAACAATAGTAGGTCGTGTTACTATAAATTATGTAAAACTAGCGACCAACCCTTGCTGCGCTCGAGTGCATCCCTTAGTACGAAGAATTCCGTAACACATTGTTTGTATATAATTATTACGGTATATGCGTGCACGCCGAGCTTCCAGTTGACATGATTTTTTCCGACATTTTCAACAATCATCGTTATATTTCAGCCAATTTACACAAAACCATAATGAATTATATACTTATACCTTCTTCATGAATCACTCCATCTATTAATGAAAACCATATGAAAATCCATTCCGTAGTTTTTAAGTTTATAGCGTACAGATATACAGACGCGGTGGGGGGACTTTGTTTTATAATATATGCTTGTTTTATAATATATTATTAAATGCTCAACATCACTAATGTTGAGCATTTAATAACAACTTACGGATAGCAACTTATACTTTGTTTCGGTCTGTTTACGACAAAACAATGCATTGTAAACCCAACACCAAATATCCACACAGTGGTGAATATTGGAAAGGAAAGAAATACCCTTTTTTTCTCTCTTTTCTTACTGTAAAATATCGAAAAAATGATTATAAAAATTATCCATTTGGATATTTACTTACGTATATTTATACATACTTTCTTTAAAATGATATAAACAGCTAATCTTTGCCCAACAAAACAGTGTTGAATGTTGTAAAGGAAAGAAAAACTCTTTTTTCTTAGTGTATTATATCAAGTGCCGTACCCACCACGCCAATTTACTTAAAGAGATCTTTCGTCAACTTACAAAAACAGTGCAGGTACTGATAAATAATAATAATATCCCAGTATATCAGTATTACAGTCCTAATGAACAAGATATTTTAATATCAGGTTAAAATGATGCAATAAATACATAGGTACATATATGTATTACCCATATATTTTTTCAATTATGTCGAATTGTCTTTAATAACCGACTTTCAAAACGGAGTAAGTTATATAATACTTTCTTAGATTTACGCGACTATTTGACATTTTAAATAAAACTATCTTTTCGGATTTTCTCGCGGATTTATTTAAATTTTTGGTTCCCGAATTTGGATCGAAATTTGGTTCTGAAGTTCTGAAGTGAGTGCTTTACAGCAATCATGGTAACGGGAGAGACAGTATGTTATATATATACCCAATATTATTATTTCTTAAGTTTTAGTAATGGTATAAATTTGAAAATGTGTCTTTCTTGTAGTTTGTCTCTATCTAGCATGCATGTGTCGTTGACAATGGATTGAGGAAATTTCTTTCGTAGTCTATATAGTGTAGGTATGGGCTGGAGAATTCTATAGGATTTTAATTCCGGTAAATTAAATAGCGATATTTGGAAAATAAGGGAAAGGGGGGACTAGGTACCATCATTTAGACAGTTTTTTGCTATTAGATTTTGCTCGCGGCTTCACTTGCATGAAAAGGGGATGAAATGTAGCCACTAGCCTGTCCATCCCCTTAATGCAATTTATATATCTTTATGAAATTTCATCAAAATCGGCTTAAGCATGAAAAGTAACAAACAGACAAAGTTACTTCACATTTATTATATAAAATATGGATATAAAATAATATGATGATGTTATCTTTGTAAACAAATCTAAATTCCGATTAAATGAATAAGATTTTCAATGCGTAGTACTTTATACTGAATATAGGTTAGCATTAATTATGATACCACGTGCCCTAAATTAACATTGGACATAAGACGTATTCAGAAACTCGATACATTTAATTCACTTACCTTAGAGGTATATAAAGTTTGTTTGTCAATTGTCATAAAAATTTTACCGACATCAAAAACAAGAAGTCCATTTTTTTTTGAGTTTATTCGCCAGCTGTAAATCGTTTTCCAATACTTTATTTTAGTGAATAGATTATAACATTCAGCTCTTATAAAGGATAATAATATTTTTCCGCAATAAAAATATTCTATATATTGACCCGGATAAACAGCTATCATCATACCAAATTTCATCAAAATCCCTCCAGTGGTTTTTCCGTGATGCGGTCACAGACGTACAAACAGTCAGACAGACACAGATAAAAATTCTAAAAACGAATAGATTCGGCCTCTGTATCAATAAATAATAAATATTTGCATAAGATTGTCCAAAAAATATTAAATGTACAGATTTGGCTAAGTTAGAATTTTATTAAAGTGTAAAAATAGTATACTCCTTTAATTTTACATTTAATTTATCTTCCAAGTAGGTTGTATTTATTGTTATCGACCTAAGTATGGGATGGTGTCTCTTTCTATTAACAAAAGCATTTTAATTTTTATATTTACATGTAAAACTTTCGCACTAATTAGATAAACAAATAAATTGAGATATTTTTATTTTTATTTTTCCACTTACATTGTAACACTGTGTACTTCGAAGAGGTCATCAAAGCCGCGTTTTAAAATCTTTAGACCATATTTAGTCTTTATAAACATTTGTCTTAACCGGGAATCGAATCTATAACTTTTAAAGTAGGAAGTGCCAGTCTGACACTACTCCTTGACTCTGTAATAAAATGCAATTTTATTTAATATTGCTTGATTTTATCTCGAAATAAAAATGACGACAGCTTTTATACGATAATTATCATGTTCATCTCTGTCTATATTGAGCTCTTTAACTTTTGTCAGAAATACCTTACACCTTTAGTACATATTTTTATCGAGAAGCTTAATAAGTAAAGCTCAGTTAAATATTATATATAAATAGTGCCTCTACTCTATTTTTAAGGTTTCGTACCCAAACGGTAAAACGGGACCTTATTACTAAGATTTCGCTATCCGTCCGTCTGTCTGTCTGTCTGTCTGTCTGTCTGTCTGTCTGTCTGTCTGTCTGTCTATCCGTCGTTCACCAAGCTGTATCTCATGAACCGTGATAGTGAGACAGTTGAAGTCTTACTTATAATGTAGGTATTTCTATTGCCGCTATAACAACAAATACTAAAAAACAATAAACTAAATATTTAACGGGGCTCCCATACAACAAACGTGACTTTTTTGTTCATTTTTGCTCGATATTGATAAAGGGAACAGGTAGACGCTTGAAATATTCAAAGAATATTTAGTTATATATTCACTTTAAAAATAAATATTTAATTAAAATAAACAAATATTTGAGGGGGGGCTCCCATACAACAAACGTGATTTTTTTTGCCGTTTTTATAGATAATGGTACGGAACCCTTCGTGCGCGAGTCCGACTGGCACTTGACCGGTTTTTTATTTTTGTTAATTTGACTACAGAATTGCCTAAAAGTTTACATGAGACACAATATAGTTCCAACAGTCTCAGTAAAATGACTGTGACATACGGAAAAATATAATCCTAAAAACAAATATCCTGAAAAATATATATAAATAAAACTTTTATTTGAAACTAGTTTCTGCACGCGGCTTCATTCACGTGGTAGCTGTAGCAGGGATAAAATGTAGTATTAAAAATGCAATATTATAGTAAATGTGTAATGTATCCATCCCCAGAATGAAATCTATCCGTTATTCCGTTTCCACGTGAAAGAAGGACAAATAGACAAACAAACAGACTTTCACATATATAATATTAGTATGAGTATGTATAAATCAAATTGAAACTGGTGTTATTTTATTTAAATACAAGTTTCTGCTACCGTTCAGAAATAAAAAAATATTAAATAACATTACATATGAATTGTATTTCATTATTGGGATAAACTAAGTAGACTTGTATGTTGTATTGAATACGATCGCAGATCGAATTACATAAAAGATTTTTATGGAATAACACTACAGCAGGAAGTCTAAGATAGTGACTAATCTAAGATAGTCAGAAATTAGATGGTGAATGTAGAGATCGTGAGGAAACTTGCAAGTCTGAGAGAACCTAGCAAGTTTTCGAAAGACATGTGAAGACCGCCAACTAACTGGCTAACGTGGTGGACTATGGGCGGATCCCCCTCGTACTGAAGGGAGGCCCGCGCCCAGCAGTAGGACGTCAGAAACGGCTGAATACATACATGACATTTAAGTAACGAAAAGTGACTTTACATTGATTTATTTTATAATGTAAGTAATATATAAACTAAAGGACAGATTCTATGCAATGAAATAAATACCTACTAAGACATTATGTGATTCCTGTACGTGCTATTAGTATTGGTAAGGTAAGACAGTATCTTGGATAAATTAATAAGAATACATGGCTCTGTAAATTGAATGTCCTTGTTGTATAGGAATTTGTGTAAAAAATTATATTTAAGTAAAATCATACTTGTCTGACATCTGACGTGTTGTTTTTGATGAGTAACCAGGTTCAAGGAAAGTATAAACAAATAACTCTTCCACGAAGAGATAAAAGTACCGCATTCAAAAGTTTTATGTGATGAAGTTACAAAAGTTTGGATTTCAGAAATTTTGACATTTAATTCAATATTATTAAAAACTAAATGAGTTTGAATGAATGAATGTTTTTTTTTTCATTTAAAGCTTAGTTGTCCTTTATTTTCATAGGTACGAGTATGATCCAAAATTACAGCTTCAGACTTTCATAATAGAGAAATCATATAAATTGAATTTAGGTCATATTTATTTCTTACAAAGTAAAAATAAAAATATTAAAAAATTCTACTCACAAAAGCATACGAGCAAACTCATATATAACAATATTAAGAAGTTAACATTTCCTGAAGTTTCGAATGCTTTACAGCAATCATGGTTTCGGGAGAGACTAAGGTTTTAGATGTCTCAAAGGAGTAGGGAACCAAAAAATCAAAATAAATCTGCGAAAAAATCCTAAAAGATAATTTTATTTAAAATATTAAATATCTGAGTAATCTAAAAGAAAGTACCTACATGTATGATGTATAAAAAAAATTATTTCTATTACCCTTACACCCAAAGTAGCATTATGTACATTTAACTGCCTCGGTGGTGTAGCGGCTAACATGTACGGTTGTACGTTCGGAGGTCCTGAGTTCGAGGCTTGGGTCGAGCCAAGTTATTGAACCTTTCTGTTTTGAAATTGGCAGCGTATCACCCCAGTGATATCAGCATATAACATGAGAATGTATTCTATCTCATTCTCTCGCCAGCTTAATCCTATATATTTATGTGTTTGTCACTTTTTATTGTCGCATTTCCGTTTCGACGAGTTTCAAATCACAACAATTCTAAAGAAGTTTCACTTCAAAAATAATAATAGTTAAAAAGATTTTATATTTTATAATGTTATTTCTTAGAATAAACAAAGCAATAAATCTGTCGATTAGATCCCGTTTCCGATCGATTGTTTGTTTACGAGGAGTCACCTGGAGCGACGCCAAATATTATAATTGCTTAGACTTCCGACAAATTGTGGTTATCTAAGTGAGATAATATCCCTTATCTTTCTGCCTGGTTGCCAAAGGGATGACACACGCTACGATAGATTTTTTTAATTAGTGTTTTAAGCACATAGGTACTCGTAAGTCGTCCATAAGCCTATGTAGTCTGTTCATTAATTTCTATGCGTTTTATTAATAAATATAATAAAAATAAATAAATGTGCAAAGTGCAATGTAAGGATGTGGAAAGGACACTGATGCATGAGTAAAGATTAGTAGAAAAGATTTTTATTTGATTACATCTGAAACAGTAATGTATACGAAAAGTTCGCAAAGATAGACGAATATAAAACAGAACCTACCATATATCATTTTTTTGATGCGTTTCATATTACATATTTAAAAAGAAACAAAAAAGTTAATTTCATTTACCAATGGCAAAATATATTAATAACTTACACTAAGAACAAAAATGTATACACAAATCTTAATAATGTTCAAATATTTAAGTATATTAACGTTAGTTGAATTTATTAATACAAAAATCAAACTTGACTTCAAAATAATACAAAAAATATTTTTTCCAAAGATCCTTAGGCGATTGTTCTAATATAGCAAGAATAACATAAAAGATATTCAACGTATTTAATTAAAACCGATCTGTGGTATCGCGTAACAAACAAACAAATGCATATAGCCAAATTAAAAACCCCTTTTTGAAGTTGGTTAAAAATAGAGTAGGAAAAGTCAACTCGCGTTTGAAACACGCATCTTCATATATAGCGGTGTAACGAGGCACTTACGCATTTCCCTGGCGGCGTCCGTTCAAGTGATTTCCTTGAGTGTAGTGACAATGGCGGTGCTTTTTGTAAGTCAATTTTTATATTATTTCTTTAGTGAAATAAACAAAAACATATATTTATATAACTGATTTTTTTTATATAATTTAATTCATGTGTATTTTTTTTAACATTTAGTATTATTATTCAAAGTGCTACTATTTTTTTTATTATTTACAAAATTATCTCACTAAAATATAATTTACACAATATGTAATTTAAAAACCATTCATAAATATTATTATGTGACTGTTTGTCTATTTGTATAATAAATTATATAATATATAGGCATTTATATTATATAGTTTAATAAATTATTACACTAAATAATAATTCAATAGAATAATTAATTACATTTATGAATAGTATTATTTTTATCAAAATATTATTAATATTATTTATTAATAAAACTATCGAATCAATAATTATTTACTAAGAATAGGTTTAAAACAAACTTTTTAACAATAAAAAGCGCGACAGTTAAAATTTGACGGTCTTGTTTTGGTGTACAGAAAACAATCGTGAATTCCAATTGTTTACAAAGAAATACAATTGTTCATTTAACAATTATAATGAAATAGTAAATGGCCTCATTATTTTATATTAATAAATTACTATATTTAAAAATGTGGTGCAAAGGTACAAGATCATGTTCAGTTTATTTTAGAGATTGCTCATCAATTATTGCTTTCTTAAGATGTATACTAAATATTATTTTTCTGTTTGTGATGTCAAAATAACAGCTTTTTACTAAATGCATATGAAATAATATACGATACTTATAAGAAAAACACATTTTGGACTGATTTTGACGAGACTTTCACTGGCAGATAGCTGATGTTGTAAGGAGTAGTTTAGGCTAGTTTTGTTTTAGAAAAAGAATTAGGGTCCCGTTCAAAAATAATTAAAACGTATCTAGGGACGAATCCGAGCGAAGCGAGGGTAAGTCGCTAGTTTAACTAATCAGAATCATGGTAAATTTAATGCTTAGGGATATTATAAATACATATTTAATAGAGTTAATCCAATTAAAATCCAATTAATTATATAGTGATGTAACTTATTTCTCTCTATTACAAAATCATCTTAGAATAGCGTCTCACTAGCCCTTCACTAACGACATATGAGCAGAGGACTCTACATGCTCCGAATATTAACACTTCTACGTATGTATATCGTCTAGTATCAGATAAGACACTATAGTTGTTTCAAACCATTGCAAAACTTGAAATTTATGAGAATAGATGGACTAACAAAGTGACACACTAAATAAAAGTATCTTTTCGGATTTTTTCGCGGATTTATTTTGATTTTTGGCTCCCGACAAAATAAATCCGTGAAAAAATCCGAAAAGTTAGTTTTATTTAAAGTATCAAATATTCGCGTAAATCTAAGAAAATATTGTAAGGTGACCTACGTTTAATGAAGACTATAACAAGGTATTTTGTAAAATTTATACATATATGACTTTCTTATATATAATTTATACATACTCGTATATGATTTAAGCAAATATTTGTCATTTTAAATAAAACTATTTATTCGTTTTTTTTTTCACGGATTGTTTTTAATTTTTGGTTCCTGATGTTTCGAATACTTTACAGCAATCATGGACGGGGAAGAAATCATTTAAAATTATGTAAATTTATACATAGGTATATATTTTATCATACAAAAGAACTTTGAAAAGTATTAACGTCAAAAATAAAAATATAATGTCAATAATAATTACTTTATTGCTATAACCCATTGACTGATAGATATAGCACAATTGTACCATAAGTTGCAAATCTAATTTCATTGAAGAGAAATAGCAAAGCTCCCTTAAAAAATGTTCTTTTCCTAGCTAAAATATTTGCCTACAATTATTTTTTTAGTATCTTACGATGGTCTCTCTTGGTTCCTGTAAAGCATTTGCAATCTGAAGCTATTTCAAATCTAAAAATCAAAGTAAAAGGCCTAAACAACCATAGAAATAGTTTGATAACAATCACACTCCTATTATCAGTGGAAAAGTTTGTAAGTGTGTATGTTTGTTTCTACTTCACGATTAAACGGCTGAATACCGTTACTAAAAAATGCTAAAAGGTGGCGCTATCTTAAAAATAGAAAAAGCACCTAAGTACCTTTAAAAAATATTCAACATTTCGAATCTGGACTGGAGCCTTTCCTACGACCATGATTGCTCTAAAACATTTAAAAAGTCGGGAACCAAAATTCAAAATCCGCGTAAAACCCCAAAAGATATTTCTATCTAAAATATCAAACACTCGAGTTAATCTATGAAAATGTTAAATATGTTGATAAAAAAATACAGACAGACAGAGTCGCTGGCAACTAGTCTATAGAGGCATGAGTTCCTAACTTTTTGTCGCGGAAATATTTTACCGGACTAAGCCAACTTACACACAGCTTACGCAATATAACAATACCGTGACATACGTTTATTCACTTACCATTCACTGTTACAAACTGTCCCACCCCTTACACAATCTGTAATTATAGCTTGTTAGTTGTTACTATGAAATGTTTGTATACTTAAGTATTGCAAGTTCCTTGTTGAATGTTCTACGCATGTACTTATCGCTCATGTTGTAAATGGTTTAAATCAAAATTACTTTGAATTTCTGTTTGTGCGTTTGTTTTCTTGTTTTTTTTTAATTATTTGTTCAAGTCTTTTTATAATTTAACATCAATTTATTATCAATTATCATTTCTTCTTGAAGATTTTAATTTTTAGTATTATTCGACGACATGTTTGGCTCAGTTTGTTATGAATCTACTTGCTGTGCCAGCGGTCGCGGGTTCGAGTTCCGCTGGGGGCATCCATTTGTGTGATGAGCACAAATGTTTGTACTCCAGTCATTAATATTTAAAATATTCTTAGAGAGCGTTGCTTTGTATCCTTATATCTTTCTTCTCTAAATTAAATAAACTTTATTACACTTCTTTTGACTATAATTTCTAAAGTCGATTTAAAAATTATAATTTTCCAACCTATTTTAAGTTATACGAAATACACATATGTAGAGTTTAGGTAATATCAACATTGTACAAGTTGAATGTCCTGTTTTGTATCGCAAGAGTTTTGTCTCTACATACGGTACGAGGGGTCAAAGAATCCTTAAATAGCAACACCGTTACAATTCTATTTGTTTAAAATTCCTCCCATGAAATTTCATGATGTTAAAAAATAATCTTCACAAAAAATCTTATTCCTTGAAATTTAACGAAGAAATAAGGCTAGATTTGCAAGAAGCGTTTTTTAATAATTATTTTATTTTTTGCTGATTTTGGTTGTATAACGCTTAAAGTATTTTACTATACAATTTAATACATAATAAATCTGGAGTTTATCAATTAAATTAGAATATCTTTGTAAATTTTTATTATTCTTAGTTATTGTCCACATTGAAAACTTAAATCTACATATATGATGATGTTCTCCTAGCCGATTCCGGCCACGGCGGCCAATCTCATTAAGACTCGCCAACTGCGCGGGAGATATTATAGTGCACAAGTGTACGCGCAGACACAGGTGCACTCTCTATTCCTGTCACTCTCATACTCCGGTGGGACGACTGCTCGACACGACCAGTGAGAGTTAAGGCGCAGGACCGACGGCTTTCCGTGCTAACATATACATATATACTTGAATATTAAATAAAAAATATTCACGTTTCCTGTTGTTAATTTTATTATGTTAATTCTTCTACATATACAATACCAACATATTATTAGTGTTTATATACATGTAGGTAAAACTTTATTAGGAGATACCTAAAAAGAACCGTAAAGTACTACAAAGTTCGAATTTAATTTCATGCTTATTACAAAAAAAACAAAGTAACTAACTCATTCAACACAAGTCATAAAAATATAGTTTTTTTTTATTAAATGAGTGTAACAAACGCTTAGTGTGAACATAACCTTATATATCCACATATAAATCTTTATTCTCTGTATCCAAGTGTTATGTCACATATTTACGAGCCACTGGCACGCAAGTAGGTGAAGGTTGCGACATACCGTACATACGAGTATTTACAGATCTTCCTTCCAAGCAAAATTACTGTTGCTAAGAACATCCGATGTAGACGATTATAGTCTTTTCTTATGGATATAGATATGCTACTATAAAGAAGTAAAACTTAATGTCCGTTTGTAAGTCACCAACTCAGTATTATGTTAGCTATTATAGTGATACCCTAATAAAATTTAGATAATCCCTTATTAATGTTTTACGCGACAGGCGAAGCTGGCTGAAACTAGCTTACATACGTATTATGTATATTATTGCATAGGCACATCCATGTTCTGTAATGTCTATGGCTTACTGCACAGAGATAAAAAAACGTGTGTAAACGTAACAGAATAAAAATAGCTAAAGATTTGATCCTGTATGTCACGACTCTCTGTTTGTAAAAACATAATGCAGCTAACTTCATCGTGTCGCTTTTTGGCTGTCGGTGTGCGCGTGCATCGTAAAAATTATACTCTCATATATTTTTTTCCCAACGTGGCAGAAGATGTATAACTTCAAAAATAAATTTTAATTGTTATCCAAGAAATTGTATTTTTTAATATACCAATATATTCTTTGCAAATTCATGACTGACACATCGCGAGCAATAATTGCTTCGTTTTAATGTAATTTGGACATAAAATAGAAGCATCAACTTTTACCAAAAATGTAGAGTCATTGTTATACCAATAAACTGTAATGTGACCACTAAAATTATCGTACTTGTGGTAGCAGAAGCTATTACCGAGTAAACAAAGGGATCGTCATGATTAATGAACAAGTGTTTTCCTTCCGCAGTATTATAAAATGATGAATAACCTGTAAAAACCACGCATTATTTCCACTATACTCTTACTAAGGTTTTGCTTGTTATTTTTAAACTTTTTTTTTAATTTGTTTAAATGAATATCTTTTGAAAATTTTAGGGGTTCGATTTTCATAAATATTTTCTTCTTTTAAAACTTCTGATAAGATCGTCAATAGCTAGTTTTCTCACAAGTATAAAAATATATTTATTTATAATATACCTATTGGTCTAATAATAAATGGTATTGGTATAATAGACCTATTGGTCTGTGTGCAACTTAATTATTTTTGACTTATTCGATTGCAATGAAACTGCAAAATATATCAACAATTTGAGCATAATACTTTCTCAGATTTATGCGAATATTTGACATTTTAAATAAAACTATCTTTTCGGATTTTTTCGCGGAATTATTTTGATTTTTGTTTCCCGACGTTTCGAATAGGAGGGAAGAGGATGACACACACCCGTTTCTCCCGTCACTATGATTGCTGTAAACTGTAAAGTATTCGAAACTTCAGAAGCCAAAAAAAACGCGATACAAATCCGAAAAGTTTTATTTAAAATTTAAGTATAAATAGGACAAAACAAGACAAATATAACAAAAGCAATAATTTAGTAATACATTTACTTTAAACATGATGTTCTCCTGACCGATTCCGGCCACAGCGGCCAATCTCATTGAGACTAGCCAACTGCGCAGGAGATATTATAGTGCACAAGAATACGCGCAGACACAGGTGCACTCTCTGTTCCTGTCACTCTCATACTCCGGTGGGACGACTGCTCGACACGACCAGTGGGAGTTAAAGCGCAGGACCGACGCCTTTACGTGCTCTCCGAGACACGGGGGTGAAACACCGCCAACTTCCCAACTTCGGGCTGTTACTGAGGCTTACTTTACAGAAGGACTCAATAACTAAACTTGGCCCGACTCGGGACGCGAACCCAGGACCTCCGGGTGTGCAGTCGTACATGCTAGCCACTACTACACCACCGAGGCAGTTGCTTTAAACATAGGCCTATATGAACGTGTCACGACAAAACAGTTCAATACTTTTTTCTCTCTCTCTGTTTATCAATTGTTATTCTTTTTTTAGTAGCAGTTGAAGAGCTTCAGTGTTATCAATCAAAGTAATAATTTGTCGAAATTTGACATTTTTGTTTTTTTCCAATATCCACAATTTTTTTCTTTAAACAATTATTTAAAAAAATTTAAATCGTATTACCAAAATTAAGGAACTTCAATATATGCATACCTATGAAGTATAAAAAAAGTTACTCCCTACCCAAACTTCAAATTTGGTGTTTTAGAAATACGTATCAAAAACTCTACCAGCATTTATCAGAAGTGGAAAGCATTTTCGGGCTTATATCGCCATAATACGATTTAGTGCTTTCATCACATTTATAAATAGCAAATAAACAGTTTTAATTAATTGTTAATTGATTCCATATACGTGCGAAATTAACTAAGGAACGTCAATGTCAGTGAAGTATTACTTAACTATTCGCCTGTCATCGATCATGATCTAACCAAAGAAGGTTTATTATGATTTAAGTACAAAGACGTATTATATGTATACTATACATAATAATATTTTTTATTAACACTCTTCTTTTGCGAGGGGTATTCATAAGGTTTTGAAACCTAGTTAGGTCTTCTCAGACATACAGATTTTCTCACGATACTTTTCTTCGCTGTTGTTAAATTATTCGCACATAAAAATATCAGAGGTGCGAGACCCGGGGTTTGAACTGGTTTACAATAAAGCCCGGAGTTGGATTTTTTTATGTAATTCTGTTGGTCTTGCACCTGATATAGGTGATAGTAGATTTGCCGTATCCGTGCATCTTAAGAGAAAAAGAATCGAAGGCCGACTGCTTGTAACAATTGGATTGATATTCTACAAAGGAGGATACAAGGACAAGATAATTAAAGTCACCAATATTGAAGTTTTAATATCAAAATTTATGCAAACAGTAATTTACTCAGTTCAGGCATCTCTGCACGAGATAATGACCTGTAGATCGAAATTCGCAACAAGTAGATTGTAATAGTTTTCCGGCAGCCGGCCTCCGCCACTGCGAAGGGTACACGTCTCTCGTGAATGCTAAACAGTTCAAATCTTATGGGATGATTGGCCTACATTTGTAAAGAACTGTGAATATAAATTAGTACATAATCTATACTAATATGATATATTTGGAAGTTAAGGTGTTTAGATGTTTGTTACTCTTTCACGCCAGAACTGAACGGATCTGGATGAAATTTGGCACAGATAGAGATTATAGTCTGGACAAGCACACTGCACACAGGCTGCTTTTACCCGGAAAAAATGTACGGTTCATGTGTAATAAATTTGTTTTTGTTTTCGCAAGTAAGAAACATAGAAGAGACATTCATTCATAAGACGATTTGTGCAACACGTACTTACTACAACTTAATAAAAAAATTGAGATTCGTTTATTATATATGTAGATTTAAAAATTAAATTATTACCAATTGTTTTCAAATGGTTTTAAATATATACTACATGTACATTTAATATTACTTACTTTATAATTTTTTTTCAGTATCTTCTCGTAACTTTATACGTAGTGAACGCCGCACCACCTTCGCAGCACTACCCTCATGCTGTTCAAATACAAGTAAACCCGTGAGTCAATTTGAAATATATTCTATTCATACCAGTAGACTACAAGTACTTTTGAATCGTCTTTTTCAATAAATGTCTGTTAAACTACCTACCACCGGCTGCTGTTTAGTAAATGGGACGCTTCCCCTGGAGGAGTAGGTGGTATTTTTGGATAGGGGAGACGATAGGGAGTCCAAATATATACATTTTATTTTGAGGAAACGAAAGTGTCAAAAGTTATTGAGACTTAAAGTTCAGTTCAGTTCTCTATTTAATGGCTTTAATGCGTGCCAGTTGAGCACAAATTATTTCGCCAATATCATGTTGAATGGAGGAGTCACGTTCGAGATTGGCCGGTGATATTTTAAGTTATTCCACTAAGAGGGACTTAAAGTTACAAAATTTCCATTCATTATTATGAAATTACTACCATTTTGACATTTGGAAATGTCAAAATGTCACTTTCAACTGCCAAAATGATCTTCAAACAAGAGTCACATCTATCACGGAATTTTAAATTAACATAAAGCACTAATGACATATATAGCCATCTCAACTAACGTTATCCAAGTCGGACTGCCACTTAATTGAAGATAAATAATACACTTAGACTAAAAAATAGTCTTAATATGGATTTTACACGAAAAAGGATGTTTATTGCTCGATAAAGGTATGTTTAATTTTGTTTAGGTATAGAAATGTATGGAAATGTTGTAACTTTAAGTCTCCATAACTTTTGACTTCTTCGTTTCCTCAAAATAATTTTTATATATTTAAACTCCCTATCACCTTCCCTATCCAAAAATACCACTCTCTTCTCCAGGTGTCGTCTCCCATATACTAAAGTTGTGCTCTACAACCTACCATCAGGTAGATGGCTCGAAATTCGAACCCATAAGAAACTTAATAGAAACTATTTTTAAAAATTGTGCCTTCACCTGGAGTAAGGTACGTTAACGTTGAATTGAACTGTAAGAATAAAAAAATACACAGTTTTGTTCAAATAAACTGCATTTTAAATATTTGATTATCCGCACTCAAAAGCTGCATCCAAGAATAAATAAAAAATATTATCCTTTAAAATAAATTATAGATTGATTAATTTGCGCCATCAAAGAACTTCTTGTTAAATAGGTATTGAAATTAAATATTTCTTCTATTTCTAGACTGGACTATTACTTGGACAGCCCACAGGTAGCTAACTACTATCAGCAAGAACCAAGGCCAGGTAATTTACCGTTCATCTATAATTTAGCCAAAATAAAAAAAAATAGCTTAATACAAGAACATCCCCTCACTATTTGTAGTTAAGTCTGGAAGCTTTCGATTTTAGTCATCCATGTCTCTTAGCGTTTTAGTCTAAGATACGAAGTAAGATCGAGCTTCACCCATCTGTTTATCGGATGAAAATTATATTTTATTAAATGTAATGTGTTGCTGAACATATACCAATAGGGTTGCCATTAAAATATATATTTTTTTTATTATTTTAACTAATAATAGCCATGAAAATATTTTAAAATTTCGGCTAACTTATAATCTAACTAAAATTACCGCTCAAACTCATTCGTGTCACAACCCGTAACACTGGCTTAATGTATTGCGTCTGTTATCGCAACTCTAAGCCACTAGAGGTAAAAGAAGTTATTATATTCATTTATAAAAACTCAACAATTTCAGGAAACTCAAACGCAGCACCTAACAATGCGCCTGCGCGTCTCGAATTGGTCGACCCTGACAGCGAGGTAGAGTTGATACCAGGAGCTCAGCAACCACAGCAACCACCTCAACAGGTATACATATTTCTTGACTGACTTTAAAAAAGTTCTCAGTTTTGATGTTTTTTGAGAGTAGCTCGATAATTTAGTTTATTGTAAGCTGTTTTTAATTGATATTTTAATAGATAAAATATATTTTTCCATTTAAAGTTTAAGAAAAAGTTATCTCACTCATGGTTCACTCACTCTAGGTTCATAAATCTATATTGTTTACGCGAGTTTAATAAAATCATAAATTATACTAATACCATTTATAATTATTATAGCATATTTGCAACATGAAATATTTGCGTATTATTTACGTAAGGTATTACTTTTAGTCAGAGATCCTTAGGCCTTTTTTAAAATAAATTATAAACAAAATTCTTGTGAGTAGCTTCATCTTGACGAGATGACGAATATTTTTCTTTAAACCTTAATGGAGGTGCTAAATATCTATACTTATTATAAAAATAAGTCCCCCGGCCGCGTCTTTCTGTCCTCCTGTCTGTCCTCCTGTCTGTCCTCCTGTCTGTCTGTACGCGATAAACTCGAAAACTACTGAACGGATTTTTATACGGCTTTCAACAATAGAAAGAGTAATTCTTGAGGAAGGTTTAGGTATATAATTTATTATGCTTTTATGTAAATTAGCTGAAATACGGCGACAAATGTTGAAGAGGTCGCAAAAAATCTCGCCAAATGGGAACTTTCCACGCGAACGCCGCGTAAACTAGCAAAGATACAGTTAAGTAATGTACTAGAGAATTCAAAATCTATAAAAATGCTACAAAAAAGTCCGCGATAGCATATCTCTATCTCTTACGGTTGACTTACAATAACCACTTTTATGTTAACATTTTTAATTAAAAACATTACGTTATTTTCAAAGTTATTTTCTTTAGTTCGGTATTAATCCTTATCCAAATGAATATTTTAGTTAGCTTAGTCATTTAATGCAGATTAAAATTGCTCTTTACACTAAATCAATCAGATGAATAGTTTTTGAGATATCGTTGTTAGAAGTAATTAGTAGCGAAACATTTTTAATGCTTGGCGAGCATTGAGATGCCTACGGCGAGTCCATCCCCTCTGCCCCGCATCGCTCGACCGCCTGCTCAAGCTATATAAACCGGGCGATGTAGCGCGCGATCCTAGGATACTTTTTACCGCGGGAAAATATCTTATTTCTGAGGAAAAATACAAAAACTGCAATGTAAGAGTATACTAATATGTAACACCTAAGAATTTAGTTTTTGGTCATCTGAACGCGGGCGGAGCCGCGGGCAATGCTAGTGTCAAATAAGTTGAACATCATAAATATTAATCTACAATTTGGCTCGATATACAAATCCAGAACGTTCAGTTGCGATTATTTTTAGGATTTAATTTTTATCAGGATTTTAACTAAAATATTTCTTTTACAGAATCCAGTCGCCCCAAATATACCTGGACTGATTCCTGGGCAAAGGGTGTTTATAGTGCACATGCCAGTCCCTGGGATTAGGTAAGAAAGCACGTTTTTACGGAGTTTACTTGATTAAGCGTTTATATCTCTAAACATCGTTTAAGAGCGTAAATTACAAATAAATTATATAAATATTATCAAAATTGTATGGTAAAATATTATGTTTCCTGTGTAAACAAAGAGCATTTTAAATAGTACATATATTGAGCAAAAAAATGTATTCAACCTTAAGACATATAAAAGCGAAATTAGTATTAAATAACGAAGAAAAAAGTTACCAAGAAAAGATTGTATCTACCTACTAATAAATAAACGTAGCACTCACACGGTACTCTATTTTTTCAAATACTATCTACAGAAACTATTGAATTATTTATTTTAACAACATCCATTTTACAATATGTTTCTTTACTTTTAGGCCAGGGACTATTGGTGGATACCAACCGGTGTACGTGGTAGCCGCCGCACCCCAACCTAATGCAGGCAACGCGTATCCTGGTAAAAATAAATAGCTTAAGTTATTATTCCCTTCTTTTATTTTCAAAGAGTTAGACGTTGAATTAGTATCACTAGATGTAGATGATCAAAAAACTCAAACTGAAAACTTACTAACTCACTTTATTAGACTTACGAAAACTCATTAAGTTAATTTTTAAAGAGAATCAGTGTAATTCGTGGCAGAAGCTACCTCACTGACTGACTCAACGGCTGTTGCTATTCGTTCGTTAATCGGATGATTAAAAAAATATTATTAATTATGCGTCCGACTACTGTCGGTTTGTATGAATATCTATCACTTTTTCACAAATTTTTAAAAAACTATAGATTCGGCCTCTGTATCGATAATAATGTCTATTTCAATAAGATTTTCATATATAATACAATTTTATTATATGTATCAGCATACTTAATCTATGTATAATTGTCAATATTTTACCATATAAATCTATTCTCATCAGGTTACCAGAACCCTGTTCTCTTAGGGCCATCAGGGCAGCCGATATCCCCAGTATATGGCTACCAAACAACCGCAAACGGAGTACAAGGGAGTCCTAACTACTTGCTCGGACCGCCAGTTAACCGACCGTTTCACTTATCGTACCAAGAGCCGGTTGCTTACCAGTAAGATTTGTTTATATTAGCATTTGCATTTAACTCAGGCTCAGTTTGTAGTGACCCTACTTGCTGTGGCAGCTGTCGAAGGTTCGAGTCTCGCTGGGGGGATTCATTTGTGTGATGGGCACGAATGTTTGTACTCCAGTCACATGACTGTTTATATTTGTGTTTATATTTATAACATGTATGTATTTAAAGTTATATATGTGTAGTGTATGTATCAACTATCTGGTATACTAACACAAGTCTCAGCTTAAATTGGGACTAGATGATAATGTGTGTTAATGTCCCAACATATTTATTTATATTTAACTTTTATAGTGTGTTTCTTTTTAATCTATAGCATAATAATAGCTTTAATTGGTAGCGCGAAACACAGAGGGTGCAACCATTTTAAATTTACATAACCGATTGAAGTAAAACTTAATTGAGTTTTAAGTCAGATAACAGTACTATAAAATCTATTAAAACCATCCAACAACAAGTTGTTGTTTACAAGCAAATACAAAGATTTTCTGTTTATCTTTGTAAAAAATTCATCAAAAAAAATCTAAAAAATATAATAAGTTTTCAATATTTAATGAATTGCGTTAAATAAAGAAGTAATATTTCGATTAAATTATATATTTTTATATCTATTGATTGTTACGTTTTGTTACGTGACGTCTTCGTCGATTGTAGCCTGAGTACTTCTTTAGTAGACCGAGGCATTTCTACATAATCGATTTCTTGCTAACTTACATTTTAATTTTAAATAACTATAAAGAAAAATAATGAATAACTATTGTAAGTGAGAAAGTTTGTAGTTTCTATTGTATTTCATTTAATTTTATTGTACTTACTTTTTTAATTATTTATTATTCTAATTAATTTGTTCCCTATATATATTACATTTATGATTATTTTTGTTTTGCGATATTTGTTTTTGTGTAATAAGAGCGTAATCAAATAAGTTTATGAGTACCTAAGGTTTACTTTAATTATTTTTTTAATTTTATCTAATATTGTGCATGCCGTATTTTCTGTTGACGATCCGAAATAAAAAATAAATAAAAAAAACCTTCACGATGAACGGTTGGACGGTTTTAAATGAAATTTTGCATGCATATCATCGAATAAATTTTTTTTATATATTTAAATACTAGATACACAATCTCATGCAAAAGTTCTCTTGCAACTTTCATCAATTATGTTTAGGCAATTATTTTAGTCGAAATAAATATACAAAAATGTAAATTGAACCTCAAGTGCAATACTTAAAGTTGTTTTCACAAAAAATATATATAGCGCGCTTAAATGTTCAAATGAACCCTCATTCGGGGAGTTCATTTTTTGTGACTTATTGTGTATCTAGTACTTTTTTGATCGATGATGCATACATATGTAAACCATGACCTTGAGTAACTTATATTACCGTTACTCACCTAGGACGCACTCAAGAGAAGCCAGGGTAGGTCGCTAGTAATAAGCACCTTAAATAATTGTAACTAATATTTAAAAATTTAATAATTTAGGCCAATTCAAAAAGACCAAGGCAGCGTGCAACAGGGAGCTGTACGATTGTCCCAGCTCGTCGCTCTGCAGGGACAGCAGCCCCAAACTACGAACGAAGCTAAGCAAAACAACGGTAAATATGTAGTGTATATAAAATTACCTATTAATTTTATTAAAAGTTAACCAAACCGTCGGACCAGAAAGGCTGGCATTCCATTCCGATAATGAAATGAACATGGGTATTGGGTAACTTAATGGATAAATGAGAGCTCATATATGGTTTTGGAACAAGGAAGGAAAGATTGTATGTAAAAATACATTTTTCATTGAAAAACTTACACGTTACAACACACATATTATTATTATTTCTTTTTTGAACGAAACACATTTTTTAATTATTCTCTTTTGAATTAAGCCTATATCAATATTTTTTAATGTAATTTCTATTTAATTAAGAAAATAATTATTAAAATATGCAAATATAATTGGGAAATTCAAAGTAGTTGAAACGCACGTCATTGATCAGACGAATATGACGTCAACGTATTATTATAACAGAGCGATTAGCGGTTTTGTCGCTACAAATTGAGTCATCATTTTCCTGTGTGTAAGAGCAAAACGGAAATTTTAAGTAACACCAAATATTATAGGTACTATTAAGTATCAAACAAGTTTGAGATTAAGTAAAAGTGAAATGGACAGTTTCTAAAATTCTTGCCTTCAATTTTAGATAATTTTACGTAACAAATTACTATGAGTCTCTATGTTCATATTTTCGTCAAATAAACGACATGGTTTCTCCTCAAAAGCTATAAAGTCATGTGTTCTCACGCACAGTTGCGGATGTACCAATTTAGATTATACTAATATTATAAAATTGTCATATATGTATGAATATGGTATTTAATTTGTTTTTGTTTATTCACGACGATTGATTATTTTAATTTTAATGTTTAGCACATACTGCATTTGGCAAACAAAACCTTATAAAACAGGAAATAAAAATAATTCACGAGGTTAAGAGTTATATATCAATATTATTATATTATTAGCTACAAGCGAGCAAAACTTAGCCAAATGAAGTATTCGGGCATAAAATTATTTGTTCTTCTTCCAAACTACATAATATTTTAATTTACAGAAGGAGCTTCTAACACAGAGCCTCAAAGCGCGAGGCAAGTGACTTTAGAATCCAAAGAACAAACCCAAAATGTGAGACCGTCGCAATCACAAAGAAAAGTCTAATTAAATTTTTTAGCTAAAAATCAAAGATTATAACAATATTTTTATATACTTATCAGAATCCATAATAATTGCTTTTATTTATTTTTTTACTTTTCGTATTAGCTTATTTTACTTTAAATACGAGTAAAAACTGTAACAGTGCATAGAAAAAGAAATACAACCGAATTGAGAACCTCCTTCTTTTCTGAAGAAGTCGGTTTAAAACAATCGAGAAAAAAAATCATAATACATATTGTGATATCTGCAGAATTTAAGTTATGAATATATTAATATTGTTACGAATAAAATTTATTTTTCGTACCTGAATATTTTTTTAGTATAATAAATGTAAATATTTTATTTGTTTTTTTTACCTTCCAAGAAGAAGCTTACCTTCAAAGAGCTTCCAAAATTTACCCTACTATGTTGGAAGCCAAAGGGGATTATGTGTTTGACCTGTATGTATGTATATCGGATCCTATGTTCCATCTTAATTACTCGACGGCTTAGCGATTTTTATGAATTATAAGTTAGATTCGTATTATCTATACATATAATAAAATTGTAACTAGGCCGAATCTGTACCTTAAATATTTTTTGGAAAATATTATTGAAATAGACATTATTATCGATGCAGAGGCCGAATCAATAGTTTTTAGATATATTTCTGTCTGTCTGTCTATTACTACATCACGGAAAACCACTGGAGGGATTTTAATGAAATTTGGTATGATGGATAGCTGATGGTTATCCTTCAACATATAGGATACTTTTTACTGCAGGAAAATATCTTATCTCTGAGAAATCTATACTAAACGTTAAAACGTAACTAAGGACGAACCCGAGACGAGCGAGGGTGAGTCGCTAGTTCGATATAAGATAATGCAAGTGTTACGGCATGTTCCTTTGTCAACACGTTTCCATCTTTTTAGTTCACTTTTTACGCAACCGACTGTGTCTTTGTATCTGTACTCGTTACTTATTTTTATAATTTAATTATTTGTGTTTATGTTTAACATATTTTATGGTATTATAGATAGTTTAATTGTTTAAAAAACAATTTTAGTGTTGAAATTACTATTTTTTCGGTTCATTTTGTGTTATATAAAGATATGAATTATGAGACGTTATGAACAAAATATGATTTCAAACTTTCCAAATACAAGTTGAAATTTATTATCCTGTTTAGGTAAATGCATAGGCTGGTGCCCGTTACGGCCTAGATTTCAGAGAAAGCAGTCCCGGTTTGCTCCATCGCTCTATATCTGATTTATACATATACTAGCAGAATCCGCGACTTCGCTGGCGCTAAAACTACAAAAAAACGCTAAAAAGGTTTCATCCCCTATTTTACCCCCTTATGAGATGAATTTCGAAAAATGGTAAAACACATATTTATTTAATTGTACTGAAGAGCATTAATACTAAGTTTCAAGTAATTCTGATAATAAATAACAACAACAAAAAACAATTTCCCGCGGTAAAAAGTAGCCTAAGTCACTCTCCTGCCCTCCAAATATTTTCACACAAAGTATCAAGTCAATCCATTACTCCATTTCGACGTAAAAGAAGAAGGACAAAGAAACAAATAAACAGACAGACAAACAAACAAACAAACAAACAAACAAACACACTTTCACGTTTATAATATTAGTATTGATAAATACAAAGTACCTAACATTTGATTGTGTGGGACAGCTACTATATTACAAGTTCAATTTACAAGGAAGTGAAAGTTTATAGCCCAAACGAAACTCCTAGTAGCTAATGAACAAAAGAATTGAATTAAACTTGATTTTACATATATGCTTATTTTTAGATAAAACATAAATAAAAAAAATATTAAAAACCCACGACATTAAAGCGTAATCTATGCATATAATAAAATTTTAACTAAGCTGAATCTGTACATTAAATATTTTTTGGAAAATCTTATTGAAATAAACATTATTATCGATACAGAGGCCGAATCTATAGTTTTTAGAATTTTTGTCTGTCTGTCTGTTACCGCATCATGGAAAAACCACTGGAGGGATTTTGATGTTTGGTATGTTGATAGCTAGTTAACCAGGTCAACATATAGATTACTTTTTACCGCGAGAAAAAATCTCATTTCTAAGAAAAAATACAAAAACTATAATGTAAGAGTATTCTAATATGTAAAACCTTAGAATTTGGTTTTTGGTGATCTGAACGCGGGTCGCTGGTAAAAATGGTGATTTATAAAATGAAAATATTTTCATTTAATTTAAACGAAGAAATAACATTTAAAAATATCTCATTATAATTATTTGCAATTTTGAGATATATTTTTTTTATTTAAGGTTATAATCAGGGTATCCACGCTGTAAAAAATTGTGTAAATATTTTATTTGTGAAAAAATCGAAAAAAGTTTTGATTTAAAATGTGAGATATTCCGGAAAATCTAAGAAAGTCTGAAACGTCGGAAACAAAACCTCAAATAAAACCGCCGTAAAATTAAGATTTTTAATATCAGTTTAAACATTACTGGAATAATAATCTAATAAATATCTATCAATGATGAATTTTACATTTGAGCCGAGAGGCTATATATAAACAAAGTTATGATGATCAAATCATTTATTTTTTAACGAATATTATGTAGTCCACATATAACATTATTTAGTAAAAAAAATTTTTTTTTTACATAAAATCATAAAATATAAAAGTTAGACATATCGTTCATCCAATGTTACAAGGTTCTATGTGTCATTAGCTACAGTTTTGCAAAAACAAACCACTAGATAGCGGCACTATAACTACAAAATATTCAATTTTACATAGTTCTATGTTGTTTTTTTTAAATCACTAAATAACAAAGTTCTATGTAAAATATAGAACCATTCAATTTTGGTTTTTATATTTTTTTAGGATAGCAAGGTTCTATGTTAAACAGAGGACCTTGCTTAGAGTTTTATGCTTATAGTTTTATTTACAAGCAGAGCACAAACAGGTATATCCCACGGGAACCGTTCATTTTTCCAGGATGCAAAGTAACTTGTTGTTAGACCGGCAGTATAAGGTATCAGCATGCCAAATTTTACTAAATTAGATGCATAAGTTGTTGTGTACTAAGTTGTATAAGTTACTATAGTTTTTTAATTATGCCACGGGAACTCCTTAATTTTCCTGAATGAAAAGTATCTAAGATGTTGCCCGGGGATATAAGGTACCACCATGCAAAATTTCATTTAAATCAGTTTAATAGATTCGGAGATTAGCCCGTACAAACAGACAAACAGACAGAGAAACAAAAAAATTGAAAAAATCTGGATTTGTTCTATTTGTCTTCTTACATCACCATTAGCATTTAGCATTTTGGTTCTTTATTCGACCTCTACAGTTTTATTATAGTATAGATTTGAAATCAGCTTTAGATGTTCACACAGCAGAATCTATGTATCGATGGATGCCTACAGTGGACAAGGAGTTCTATGATGCAATATTCAAAGTGTAAACCATTTTTTATGATGATAAATTTCACATATGTACAAGTAATGTTTTTTAATGGTACAGAGACATGATAACATATTATAATAGTTCAGATGACTCAAGAAAATTAATACTTAACTTGGACATAATCTTTTACTTATTTCAATGAAACAAAGTCCTAAGTTCTGGTTAAAATAAATAAAAATATTTTTTGGCTATCACAAAGTTCTATGTTATTTTAATTTTGATAATATTGCTTAATATTAAAGTCAATATCCTATTTTTAGTTCCTAGAAAGCATCATGTAGTTCTTAATTATGCTAATAAACTGTCACTTAGGGATTAGGACTAATCAGTATACATTTTTCAAAAGCCAAAAACTTTAAAGTCAAATTACTAAAATTCATTAAAATTAACATAGAACCTTGTAATAGTGAGCCAACGATATGTAAATTGGCATCCCTGACTCTTTTTGTACTATAGAAGGCCTACATACTTGCTCTATATAATTTTCACTTCGAACAGCTGTTTAGGTAGTGCACGCAATGAATGTCGGGTTTTCGACTTGTAAGACAAAAATCGTAACAATTCTGCTTAAATACATATTAAATATATAATTTATAGACTACTAGCAATACCCGCGACTTTACCCGTATTCAAACTTCCGATCGTTACCAAACAACACAGGATCACCTGCTAGGCTAATCTGAAGATTGTCTGAAAATTTCGTCAAAATAACTCCAGCAGGTTTGAAGTACATAAGGAACAAACATACATCTATCTTAATATATATATATATATATATATATATATATATATATATATATATATATATATATATATATATATATATATATATATATAGCATTCTAAGATAATGGAGCTATATATTAGTGAATATATCAATTATAAACAAACTTATCTTTTTTATAATGTACAAGCGTGAACGAATGTGGCTAATTCGTTCATGTGTACAAGTGACTCACCCTCGCTTCGCTTCCGGTTCGTCCATAGACAAAAGCAAATCTGTCCCACGAGAACCGTACATTTTCGGGTTGATATATAGCCTATTAGCCTTCGTCAATAAACGGGCTATCTAATGCAAAAATATTTTTTAAATCGGATTAGTAGTTCCTGAGACTAGCGCGTTCAAACAAACAAACAAATAAACTTTGTCTCTTTATAATATTAGTATAAATGTCTCTTTATAATATTTATAATATATACTCATTACATGTGTATTGGAAAAGTGATAAATCTGCTAATGATAAGATTATTGCGAGCACATCCCGTCATAATCATCCACTATATTATGACTTTTTACTGTTAAACTTGCATCAAGTAACACTACGTAGTGCGTATATAGTCTGTAACGGGCTCTCTTCCTGGGTGATCAAACTTAATGAAGCAAAGATTATTTTATAGCTTAATATTTACTTTAGTTAATAAGCAAAGATGATTCTATGCTTTTGTTACATTTTCTTTAGTAATATTAAAAATTACGTTTTAACGTTTAGAATAGATTTATATATCACGTCTCTGAGAAATCTATTCTATATCTTGTCATATGTTGTTGTCTGTAACCAGCTATCGTCGTACCAAATTTCTTTAAAATCAGTCCAATGGTTTTCTCGTGATGCGATCCCAGACAGACAGATAGACAGAAAAAAATCTATAAACTATAGATTCCACCTCCGCATCGATAATAATGACTATTTCAATAAGATTTTTCAAAAAATATTTAATGTACAATTTGACTCAGTTAGAATTTTATTATACATATGTATAGAGTAGTAATAATTTTGAAATAACTAAAAAGTAAAAAAGAAAACATATTTTTTAAAGCAAAATAACTAAAATTTAATTTCAATACATTTAAGTAATTGTTAACAAAATAAAATATTTATATATTCATAGCTAAATTGTGTATAATTAAATAACTTTCTTCACATCTTGTAAAATTATTGGCAATAACAATCTCTCCATTCACTTCCAATTAGTAAACAATGCGAAATCCCAGTAACCGCGTTTTGACTTAAAACTTGCACTGACCTTCATACTGCATCATTATGCGAACATCAATCACATTGATTGTTAGCTGTAAATACAACACCAAAACACTAATTGCTAGTACGCAAGTTTGAACCTTAAAACACAGTCACAAGAGTCATTATTCTCAAATATCAAATTAAGCTAACTATTTTTTTTTTATTGGCCACACTGATAAAAACCAGCCACCAAAGGTCTTCCAAATACATTGTAAGATTCCTCGTCTATATTTAATATTAGACATAACAGACTGCAAGGGATCAAAGTATATTGGGATGCGATAATGATTCACTCAAATTAAGACTTTCCAAACGAAAGGTGCTGAGAGCGCTGCAATTACGTACCGCGACGAGGCAGTTATGATCTTTTTGCTTAAGACCCGTTATCTTAGTTTAGATGCGCGGCAAAAACGCACCGAGCGCAGTGTAAGGCCTTATTCCGGAGAGCACAGACGTTGTCACAAGGATGTCTCGTATCCTAATCGTCCTGATAGCCATAGCCTGTTTCCATCATGCAAGCCCTAAACCAGTCAGGAGAACGCTCAATTTTAACATGTTTGTTCTAAAACCACAATCGGGATCACCGGACCGTACTATATTGGCTACTGATGGTATGTCCAGATTTGGACCACTCTTGGAGTACATAGTTCAAAGGGTACAAGGAATGATGTCGGTTCGTTTGCCTCCGGAAACAACTCCTCAAGGTGATAAGTTGAAGATTGCAAGTGTTGACACATCAGACAACGAGGTGGATGGTTCGCAAGAGTCCAAAATGCCTGGTGTAGTGGTGCGACCTTCTCGCACGAAGCCCGGCACCTACGAAGTGGAAATCGACGTGGTAATAGACGACGGACAGCCCAACAATATCAAATGAACTCTCACGTAATATAGGAAAAAATGGTGATACAATTTTGCATTTACTGTGTATATTTATTTATTCTTGCCATATTGTCCAGTTGAATAAATTTTTTTTGTATATTTATTATTCTCATTTTTACTTTCATCTACATAATTAATATATTTAAATATTTTTTTTATCTTAGATTTCTTTCCTTTAAATTGTGGAGTATTCAATCTGTAACATCTTAAAAAATAATACTTTCTTAGATTTACGCGAATAGTTGACATTTTAGATAAAACTAACTTTTCGGATTATTTCGCCAATTTATTTTAATTTCGGTTCCCGAAGTTCCAAATGCTTTACAGCAATCATGGTCACGGGAGAGACTGTCTCTAATCCCAAAGATAGTTTTATTTAAAATCTTAAAAAATGTCCATAAACAGGTAAAGACGCAAGCGCACAAGAGTTAATGAGTAAAGTACTTGGTTGTAAATGGCTTCCTACATGATGTAACGGGAATAGGTAACTAGTTCTCATCCCAATGGCCATAATGACAGCCTACAGCACGTATCTGACTGGAATACCAATTAAATAACATAGAATATATTACCTTTCCGCGTCTCGATTAATACTTCAGCTCAAAGTGTACAATTTAATTTGCAGTAAAGATTAATGCTAACTCGTAAAACATTTATATTTGTAAATAAGATATATTATTTGAAATTAGTGAGTTAAAGTTTTAACATCATTATTGTTTGAAATGATATCTACACATATAATAAAATAATTAAGTCGAATCTGTACATTAAATATTTTTTAGAAAATCTTATTGAAATAGTCATGTATCAATACACAGGCTGAATCTATAGTTTTTAGAATTTTTGTCCTTCTATCTGTCTGTCTGTGACCGCATCACGAGAAAACAACTGGACAGATTTTAATGAAATTTGGTTTGATTACGAGTATAGCTGATAGCAACATATAGGATATTTTTTACTGTGGGAAAATATCTCATCTCTGAGAAATCTTTACCAAACGTTAAAACGTAAAGTACCTAATATAAGTAATGAAATATTCAAAAATTTACAAAACAGCATGTTTTTTTTCTAAATCAAATTCCTACAATTTATTTGTCATTTTATGTTAATTTTTACCTAAAATTTTTATTAATTATTATTATTGTATTAATTCATTCATTGCTAAAAATTTTCAAGGAAATTTTCAATCGGACCTATTTTTAAGGATTTCTTATAATTTAATATAAATTACCGTGAAATCTTTTTCCCATTTTTTTATATACTAATTGAACTATAGTTTTCCAGTATAACTAAAGTCAAAGTATGGCGCGAGTCATTGACTCTAATGGCTTGAACTTCATAACAACAGCAACTGCCGGCTTCATTACACATTTTCGCTTGAAGTACGTTCATATAAAGGATATTATAATATTTTATGACTAATTATAATGTGTACTAAAATTCCACCTTCTAAATTATTTTTGACCGACTGTATTTTTCTCGATATCTTGGCCAATTACGTTCTTTTTACGATTACGAAAGATTTACCTAATATTTTTTTATATAGCACAAAATCAATAAACCACTTGACGGTTATGCCTGGCTTATTTTCTCTGACTTGTATCAATTTTTTGCGTTGTTAACCGACTTCCAAAAAGGAGGAGGCTCTCAATTCATAGGAATCTTTTTTTTATGTATGTTCACCGATTACTCGAAGACTCCTGAACCGATTTGGATTTTTTTTGTTTCGAAAGGTATACTTCCCAGGTGGTCCCGTATAAATTTTAATTTCCTTGCGACTTCCAGACACTAAAATGTATAAATTACCTAAGTTACGGGGGTTTTCATTTAGAATAGAGACCTAATCAGATATTTCCGAAGTTTGTGCCAGCCGACAAGATTTTAAGATATGAATATTTAATAGGTAAATAGGCAGTGGTAGCCCAGTGGTAACGCGCTCGCTTGGGAATCCGAGTGAAGCGAGTTCAAATCCTGGGGCTCGCAATTCTGATATTTTCATGTGCGAATCATTTCCAACATGATTACCACTTGTCTTAACGGTGAAGGAAAACATCGTGAGGAAACCTGCACGTGTGAGAAAACCTAGCAAGTTTTTAAAAGACATGTGAAGTCCGCCAACCCGCACTTGGCCAACGTGGTAGACTATGGCCTGATTCCCCTCGTACTGTATTGAGGCTTGTGCCCAGCAGTGGGACGTTAAAAAGGGCTGAATACATATATGATTAGGTATAAACTCTAATTATAGTTAAAATATTATACATCAATTTGTGGTGTATTTTACGTATCGAAATATATTAGATTTACTTTGTATCGGCTGGCACCGACTTCGAAGATATCTGATTAGGTATATATTCTAAATGAAAACGCCCGTTTAGTTATTTTTTACATTTTAGTCCTGGAAGTCGGTTTTTATTTATTTTTTTGATTTCCAATTTCAATGGGGTTTTTTTTATTATATATAGGTATGTGTTGCTGTAAAAGCCTGTATAGTGGCAAATCTTAGGTTTTACGAGTAAATCTAAGAATTTACCAACACGAGTAGGCTAAGGTAATGATTTTATAAAGTAGACGATGTTTTGGGCTTTTACCATCAGGATTTTAGGATAAAAAATTGCTAAATATAACTTCAACAGTCTAATTGGCAAAAACTAAAAAGCTGTAAATAAAAAAAAATATTATAAAAATAAAATAACCGATTGCATAAATATAGTATTATGCAGTCGGAGACATACATACGAGTATGTACATCTCGCAGCAAGTATTAAGTGATATATTTGAAGGAGAAAATGAAGATTTAGAAGTTTTACTTCAAAAATGTTAGTCACTTTCTTACCGTAGCGGCTCAACTGATTTGTATAGAAATATAAATTGCTTATATTGATTAAATCAATAGGATTCAATTTATCCACGTTTATATGACGTATCTACAACGTGAATGGCACTGCGAAAAAAGTTGGCACAGCGGTAAAAGACTAGCTATTTTAAAAAACTCACTTTTAAGTCAGACCAGTACAAATATTTATTAAATATGTAGTGAAAATCACACCTCGCCCTTGTTGAACACCAATTAAAATCATTATTTGAAATACTCCACATTAATTACAAACGGCAAATTCTCAAGAATCTGGTTGCTAGTAGGTTTCCTTACTAGTAAGAGGAATTTGACATAATCTATATCTTTCTTTTTATAATAAGTTGTTGAGAATGGCAGTAAATAAAATAAATTTTACTATTATTATTATTTTTTATGTAATACTTATTACTAATAAGTATATATTGCCATGTAACTAACGAGAAAGTTATTAAATATTGTAGTGTGTTCGAGAAAGTTATTATATATTTACTATATATTATTAATAAAAAAAGGGTTTTAAACAAAACTTGTAGGTCATTAAAAGATCTATAACTTTGATAATAAATAAAATTGCACGTAATTACGTGATCTAATTAGATAGTTAGGGAGGTAATCGCGAAAAACTGACGAAGGTAGCGTTTGCGCGTTTCGATCGCGATATTTCGAAAAATATTAACTTTAGTAAAGAAATCTATAATATAAAAATGAATCGCTGAATGTGTTGGTAAGCGCAAATCTCGAGAGCAGCTGAACCGATTTCGCTAATTCTTTTTTTAGAATATTCCTTGAAGTACGAGGATGGTTCTTACGGAGAGAAAATTTTGAAAAATTGCCTGAAAAAGTCTAAAAGCAACACTTTTCTATACTCCCATACAAAAGATTCGTAATAATACTTAAAAGTCAATTTGAACTTTAATACCATACCATAAAGTTTAAGTGTTAGTGGAGAGGTTCCGGGAAGGCAAAATAATTGAGTGACGTTAGTATCGTATAAATATTAATGTCAATATTTGTCAATATTATTAACAAAAAAATAAAAATAAATGGCTAACGCTGGCTAAACAGTTACACTAACACACAACAGTACAGCTAACTATTTATATCTATTTAAAACGTACCTAGCGATGAACCCAAGCGAAGCGAGGGTGAGCTGCTAGTATTCAATAAAAAGAAATATTTATAAAAAACACATTTTTTTAAATGTTTGTCTGTCTGTCCATGTTTGTTCCGGCTAATCTCCGAAATGGCTGAACCGATTTTGACTGGACTTTCACTAGCAGATTGCTGATGTTATAATGAGTAACTTAGGCTACTTTTATTTTAGAAAAAGAGTTAGGGTCTTGCTCAAAAAAATTAAAACGTACGTAGGGACGCACCCGAGTGAAGCGAGACTAAGTCGCTAGTAACAGATAAAATATGTTTATCGGTACCTATTGTCGAAGTCACAACAAGTGTTTTATGAGTACATAATGAGTAGTATAAAATGAGTAGTATAAAGTTCGCCCCACTTACACTCCATTGTACTCGTATATTAGAAACCTTAGCCTACTAACCGAGATGACACTCATTAGTTCATAACTAATTACCATATTATGTTGTTTTAAGTGTTTAAATATTATTACTTTAATATACAGTGTGTATCCTAAAGCCCATGTATGTTACCCATACATATATTTACCCCCCATGTAGGTTTGTGCAGCGATTTTTAGTGGTTCAAAGTTATTTGGATTAAATCGATAGGTATTAAGGTCCTCGACCCCCCTTTTAGCTTTGATCATGATACATACATACTATAAATTACATTAACGATTAAATTAAATATATTAAAATAAAATATATTGTATATTTTTTTTAATTTTGCATTAAGATTATTATTACCATTTGCAAAGAAGGTGTAATTTCTAAGAATAATTGGTAATAACAGCACTTAGTATTAATTCAATTAATGAAGAAACTTACTTTTTTGCTTGAATATGTCAAAAATGGTTAACATAGGTTTACGTTACTTAATTTTATTAAAATTTAAATATATATTTTTTTTTAATATCAAATAAATAAAGTAATTCGTTGCTGTTCCCATTCAATAATATTTTTTGTCACAAATTCTTTTGTTTACTTTAGGTTCTGTAATATTTTAACAATTTTATTACATATCGTATATGCACATAATAAACACCCACATAAAGCCAAAAGCAGTTAATACTATATTCAATGATATAGCATTAACATACTTATGAGGCAAGATCTAGAACATTTTAGTAATTCAACCTCTTCACTTTGTAACAATACTAGCGACTCACCCTCGCTTCGCTTGACTTCGTCACTAGGTTGATTCTCCATACAAACTTTCATCCCCATTTTCACCTCCTTATGGAATGGTTTCCGGAATAAATATCCTAAGTCCTTCCCAGGGTCTCAAACTATCTTCTTACCAAATTTTCTCTAAATCCGTCCAGTAGTATATTATAAATATAAAAGGCACCTAGAGATATACCGAAGCGAGGCAAGACGTTGGTCGTTAGTTTATAAAATCTTATTTTGTTATATTTGACAAGGGAACCCTAAAAAAGAAAGTATAATATTACATACGCAAGGTCACATGTCCTGTCAGTGGGCCAGCGCAAACATCCATGCATAATAATGACAATACGTGTCCACTCGCTTCCTGACTTCGCGACAAACGTATCGATTGCTAGAAAATAATTTGTGAAACAAACTAATAAAATACTTAGTAAACAGTGTTAATGACTAATACATTACTATTGTAGTTACGTTTACTATAGTTTTTGTTTATCTGTGAGTTTTATCATCAGAATGAACGCGCTAAGTTTGATTGTGTTGTGTATACAAGTATGTGGGGTGTATCCTGCACCCTTGCAGTTACTTTTCAACCCTTATCAGAGGATTTTGATGCCACCGCAGCAAAATTTACAGCAACAGTTACTAGAACTGCAAGTATTGCAGCAAATGAACTCCATAGCTTCTATGGGAATGTAAGTAAGGAAATTGTTACTAGTTTTTGTCCGTGGTCAGACTTGCATGGTATTTATATCAATAAAAAGTAGTGTAAATCATCATCAATCATGGTAGTTCTAGAGATTATTCTAAAGAAAAACCAACAAACTTATTTAATTTCTATATAGTTAAAGTAAACGTAAATGTATTTATTTAAGTAAGTAAATAGTAATATCTTTTCCACTTTCCTTGTTGTTTGTGCACAAAAAAACACTTTCTATTTACAAATAAATGAGATGAAATTCACACAGATTTCGGTGACTATATTACATATATATACTACGAATCCTTATAGTACGTTTCATATATCTAGCTGTCCGTTAGTTACTCCCTATTTTCTCTAATTCTGTAAAATTTCAGTATACATACTTGTATAAATATGTTGGGACATTAACACACAGCACCATCTAGTCCCATGGTAAGCTACGAGGCTTGTATTATATAGATTTTAACTGCATAATTACTTGATGTTTTATTAAGTGGTAACATTTAGTTTTTTTTAAATTCAAAATTTTTATATAATATGTATCATCTTATCGTGGTGGTAAGCTTTTGTTTATGTGTTGTGAATCTGTGGAAACTTGGTTAGGTTTTAGCATTACTTTTATATGTTTTAGAATGTAATTTTTATTGTACTGTTTGTTTCCCTTGAAAAGCTAATAAATAAATAAATAAATAAATAAATAGATATCAGATAGTTGAAACACTACACATATATAACTTTAAATACATACATATTATAAATATAAACACCCATGACTGGAGTGCAAACATACGTGCTCATCACACAAATGAATACTCCCAGCGGGACTCGAACCCGCGACCGCTGGCACAGCAAGTATGGTCACTATTAACTGAGCCAAACGTTTCGTCAAATTATGTTATATGTATAAATTAATTCTTAAAGTCAATTAAAAAGTACGTGTGCAAGTGTGTCATAGGATATGTCGAATGAAAGGAAAATGAGGAATATTGTATTTTTGAATATATTTTTATTAACTTAGATAATTATGGTTAAATTTAAATCCTTTAGGCACATGGCTTCCGCCACATTTTATGTGACATTTATATTATGCATCACGACAGTTAATAAGTTGATGGTAGTGTTAGGTACCTACCTGAATATGAACGCAATAACTCACCAAAATTTTTAAAGTTAATGGATTTATTTTATAATATTTTTTCAGGAGCAATCCCCAACCTCTCCTAGTTTTTCTACCAAACGATCAAATAAACATGAACGCAGGTATAAAAGATAAAATTGATAATAATCAGATCGAAAATATGCAGAAAACGAACGAGCAAACGAATGTGAAAGGAGATTCAGATTCAGTAGTTATAGATGCTGAGCCTATACCAGTTCTTGAAGATCAGAAGGCATATCTAGTTCTACCAAGTGGAAGATTTTCTATCGGTGATTTTATATCTTCGATTCCATTTTTACCTATCGAAATAAATGTCCCAGATACAATATCGTGGGCTTACGACGGCATTGCAAGTGGGATATCAGGAATAATTTCAATAATTGGACAAAGACTTCCTGGACCATTTAAAAGACCACCAACTGATGGAACAATGCCCCCTAATTTGAGGACAGTGATAAATAACTTGCAGATGAACAAAAAACAAAATATGCTAAGGCCAATTGTTATGATGCCAATAGGTGATTTTACAAGGTCAATGGTACCAATGCAATTATAAAATTTAATAAATACTATATAGCAACGAAAAATATTTTTTTAATCTATGTAATCTAAAGTCGGCAGTAAAAGAGTCTCTATTGTCTTAAAATATCCTATAACAAGCCAAGACATGATTGGAATTTAAATCAATTAGCTATATCCATTGCATATTAAATTAATAAAAAACTAGATTAAACTTGAGACTGTTAGTAGATCAAATTATGTTCAATATGTGCAATAAATATAGTTCTAAAAGTACAAAATATATGGGCAGTATAACTAATATTTTGGTCTTTTATTGTTATTCAATAAATAGATTAATAGGCATGTCTGTCTAACTGCTAAGTAAGAAACTATACGATTCATAATTAGATCCACTTAAATAATATCCGCATATTTAACTCGGTAAAATCCCCATAATAAAATTCGCCTGTGCTGAATACAAGACTCCTCTTAATGTAAGAACGATCAAGCCATAGCCCACCATGTTGGTCAAATGACGACAAAACAGGTTAGATTCCTTCAGACGTGCACGTTTCCTCATCCCACCATTCACATCATTTGCGTAATAATAACATAATGCTATAGGATATTTTTACTCTTTATGTTGCTTACCAAAATTTTCTTTTTTATTTAATTTAAGAAAACAAAATTTATATTAGCAAAGCAGATAGAACATCTACGAAATATTTGATTTGAGCTTAGAGTAAAAATTGGTATATAGTCTGCAACTACTAAACTTCATATTAATATTTTCGTGAGTTCCTAAATGTAGGAGTAATAAAGTTAATTAAAAAAAAACACAAAATTATTCAAATTAAAACTTTATTCCGTATTACTGGCTTAAAAGTCTACCAAAACAACTTTATAGACTAGACTGGGTTCAGGAATAAAATTTAGTAATACTTTTTATTCAAACAAATGTTTACTTTTAACGTTTAAAACTTTAACCCTCAAAAACTTATGAATTTTTTTGTAAAAGTTCACTTTAAAACACCAGTCCATTTCCAGGATGGATTCAATGATGTATCAAAACTAATATTTCAGGAAGCATTTAAGTATAAAAAGTAGACGGATTATAAAGTATAGAAAGTCTAATTGAGATGATTTAAAGTACAAGAGCGATTACAAATAGGTAACTTAGCCTACTTAACTAAAATGGCAACAATTACCCTACCTCTTTAACATCGTTTAGAAATCGATGCATTCCTACTAAGGAAGCAATATAGATCTACTGCAGCTACGTACTATACTCGCTAGCGAAAGTTTCTTGCTTTTATTTGTTATAGATGAAAAAAACTTTTTAGAAAGCCATGGCATTCTAAATGATGTTAAACTGTAGGGTAAATATCATTTCATCACAATGTAAATACACAACGCGTTATTTTTTTATTTTTAGATATTTTATCAACGTCCCTTAAGTTATGTAAGTATTTGTATGAAACAATTTTTTATACATAAAAGATAAAGATTCTGTATCTCAAATATCTGCAGCAACATATTAACTATAATATGGATGGAATCCAAAAAGGATCCTGGCATATAAAAAATACCTTTTTTTACATAATTTAAAGGACGTTAATAAGTGCATTATTCATTTAAGACGTGCTTAATTAGGTTTTTTTACTGGCGTACTTCATTCTTGAGCACAATGCTGGATACTGGGTAGTCGAACTGATAGAAGAAACCACGAGGGGGGCCCTGCAGGCGATAATATAATAATTATATACATGTATTTACGAAAACTACAAATGAAGGAAATAACAGTTGTTGTTTTAAGATCTTATATGTCTGAGTACAATGCACTTGGTAGTGTGCAATATAAAATTGCTTCATCGTTCACTGGTTCATCAAATATTTCTACAGAAAATTACATATTCCTCTGCTTCAAAATAAACTAAATCACACGAGTAGATAATATATTAATTCAACCTGCCAAATGAACATAATTTTTACAAATATTTAATACACAACTGTTTATCTTTTATTTAATTTGAATCATCACATTTTTACTAATCCAATTCATTTAAGTGAAAGAAATAATTAAATAAAAACACTTACAGTGGGTTCTGGTTCTTCAAGCTTCTCGGGTTGGTAGAATGGACCGCTCGAATATTCCTTTGCCTGGCGCTTTCCTGTCGGCTTCGTGAAAGAAGGGTTCACGTCACTTGGTGCTGCGACGTACACATCCTGCTGCTCTGACGCAGCGGGCTGGTAGTCCTGCAGGTTCTGGGGGTGACCACTCCAGTATCCGTTACTGCAAATATATAACAAATCAATTTGCTGAATGTTCCAAGTCTTCTGGGTTTTTTTTCATAGTAATTGGGTCAGCACCAGTCGGCAATTACTCTATTAAACTCTTTTGAAATTCTCTTTTCTCATATTATCATAGAGAACTCGTGTAAATGGAAATTGAAAATATAAAAAAAAAGCAGTGAAAATAATCATACTTTACACAACTTTAATTTCTCCCTCATCTATACTAAAGCTTTAACTTTTTAATTCTTAGTGACACTTCATCATGCTTACAGAATAAATGCGTTGACCAGTTTTTGAGATGTGTTATATTTTCAATTACAAAGACTTGGTTAGTTTTATTGTGGTTCAAAAGCAAACGCGTAAATATCTTATGTTCCTTTTAAAAGATAGGACATGGGTCTGAATTTCGGCTGTGCGTATAACAGAGATTAATATTTCTATATTATATACTAGTGGCTCACCCTCGCATCGCTCGGGCTCGCCTCTAGAAAAACAAAACAAATCTATCCCACAGGAACCGTATATTTTTCTATGATAAAAAGTAGCCTATGTGCTATTCCAGACTATACTCTATCTCTGTGCCAAATTTCATCCAGATCCGTTCAGCCGTTCTGGCGCGTTTGAGTAACAAACATTCAAACACCCATCTAAACTTTCACATTTATAATATTAGTAAGATTATTGAGATTTGATTCTTTTTAATACTGAATGAAACTTACGGTAGTTCAGGTTGTTTACGGGAAGCCTCAGCGGCCTCTTGCCAGGCCTTCTCGTGAGCGAGTCGAGCTTGTCTCACGTCTTCAGCTTCTTCTACTGGCTTCAGTTCTACCTTGGGGATGTTGTCTTCTTGGTGGAAACCTTCGCTGTCTGCCCAGTAACGGACCTGTGGAGAAAATGTATTTATAAATACGAGTATATATGTATATTAATAATAATATAATTGAATATTAAAATAAAAAGTTATTTCGATACAAATTGTAAGTTCGATAAGAATATTAATGATGTGTAGTTTATATACTATAACCAACCCAAAATATAAATATCATATAGTATTTTTCTATTACAAATACACCATTAAATGATATGTGAAATTTCAAGATATCAGAAAAACTTCCTAGTTCGGAGAAAAATTCGAGCCTATAACTTCATTCCATGGGTTTATTTAATTAATCTTTGCACCAACATTTCTATAGTCTGTACTCTGTAAGCAAATAATAATGAACGAGCAACTGTAGGCGCGAAAAATAAAACGTATATAAAAATACCTTAATATCATTGTCACCAGATTTATAAGTGTAAGATCCTGTGACATCTCCAGAACGCACTCTGTTCTCCACTTTGGCTGATTCAGGGGTCTCGTAGCCATATGCGTACGCGCCTAAGCCATCTTGGCCGTGAAATTGGTTTGCGTTGTAAACCTATAAGTATAGAGAAATTTTTTTAGCAAAGCAGTCCCTTTTTGACGATGACTGATATTATAATAATTTACATACAGGATCGAACCTGTGACATTTGGTGTATATCAAACTAACACCATATTCTTTATTTACAAAAACCAACTATTATTCAAAGTAGCTCTGGAAGAAAAATAGATTTACTTCTAAAACATTCGTATTCTTCGTCTAAAAGTCATAAATAAAATAATGAACACTTACAAAGTGTCTTGCAAAGTGTTTATTATCACAGTCGGTCATAAAGCTATAGAATAGATTCTAGACGAAGCCGTGTTATTTATAACATGTAAAGTGACCGAGTAGGTTATGATCAGTTATTTTATTCTCAAGCGTTATATTTGTTGAGAATGTTTCTTTAATCTTTTTTAAAATAATGTTTACATACTATCGATCAAAAAAGTACTAGATACGCAATCCCACGCAAAAGTTCTCTTAAAACTGTGACGAATTGTGTTTGTGGTTATTATGCTACTTGAAAAAATACACAACAATGTAAATTGAACCTTAAATGCAATGCTTAAAGTTGTTTAAAAAAATAAATAAAGTGCGCTCAAATGTTTAAATGAGCCCTCATTCGTTGAGGACATTTTTTGTCGCTGATTGTGATGATAACATTAGTCAAAGAAGTAATAAATGCTAGCACTCTACAGCCTTATGGATACAAAAATGTGAAGTAATAAAAGACTATAATCATTCAAAATTAATTACATATTTCAACCTTAGGGATGTAATTTTTTTAGTATTATAGTATCAGCCTTGAAGTATAAACGACTGCTTCTTCCTTAAAATTAGAACTTTATTTCTGATACTTAAATATTTAAAACGAAATAAAACTGTTTTTATTTATATATTACTATATTGTGTAATATTTTCGCCAATAACTACAAATGTTTCATAATTCTTGTTTAAAAAACTTGGAGGTGACCTATGGATGGAATTTTAAGTAATTTTGCAGTCGATTTACCTTTTTTATATGAAAATTAATATGGGTCAATAAAATAATCGTCTATAACTATATAAAAGTTACAAGAAAATAAAATTAAAATTGAAACTATTATTGAGAGATTTTATACCTCTTCAACATAATCGTCGGGGTTTTCAATCTCGTGTCCGTTCTTCCAGTAGTGGCCGAGAGTGGGACCAGCGTCCGCTGAGCGAAACCTCGGGTCGTTGTATCTTATCTGTTTAAAAAACAAAAAAAAAAGAATGAGAAAAAAAATTACAGAATAATTTTTATTTTGGAAAACAATGAAACTAAATGTTTTTTTTGGCTTTATGCTACCATCAATTGGCAGCTTTCGTACGATAAATATTAGAATTTTTATTATTTAGGGTTCCGTATCCAGTCGGTAATGAAAACCACGGCAATATAATTTTGTCATGTTGATCTATCTGTACGTCACAGCTATTTAACTCGGACACCATTTGTATTGTATGGCTGTTTAAGGTAAGCGTATGGCACTTACACTGGATTGGCTCAGAATGATAAATGCGTATAAATTAAACAATTTACTAACCAAAGGCAATATAGCAGTCCTGCCAGCGTACTTGGGCTCTACATACGGTGGGTTACTAATATACTTTTGAGCTTCTTCAGGAGAAAGGTCCAGTTGGAAGATCTTGGATCCAGGCGCCGCAGCAGCTAGCGCCATCTGAAATTAACAAATCATCTAAAGTGAAAAACTAATTTTAGCTACAAAATATTCTAAAACTTTGCCCTGTTTAATAATATAGTCATAGAATTTGAGCGAAAAGCTAAAAACAACTGTTTATTTAATTTTATGCAAGGTTTCCACAGGTTTTACAGGTTATATAAGAAAATTATTCTAATGTTTCGTTACCCAACCATCGCAAAGGGAAGGTAATGTTTTTAATCTTTATATCTATATGCATGTACTTTATTATGTTAACACACCCCCTATGCGATGTATGTAGATAGTAGATACCTGTATCTCTTTCTACCAATAAGAATACCGGACACAGTCCGTTCCCGGTCCGATATCGGTCCGGTAAAGTATTTTTTTACAAGAAAAGTTGCTGGAGTGTGATTCGTCATTCGACCGAAACTTGATCCTTACTGATATCACAGATCATATAATACTACGAGTATAATAGTAGATACTGATAGTATGAATGCACTCATTGTTTCTGGTAAAAATGATGCTTTACCAAACCGATATCGGACCCAGAAGGAACAGTGATCGGTACTATAGAGTGGACCCGGCTTTAGTCATTTTCATCTTAACATGAGTGTAATTACGTAAAAAACACATATTATAATAACATACATATGTGATGAGTCGATATTTGCTTATAATAATTATTATAAACACATAAATAAATAATATATGAGTATGTATAGTAAATCACCATACTACTACTATACTACGTAATGTATACGTTATTTATTCAAGTTAATTATGATTTTACTATATTGTACATACTTACATATGTACATATATGTATATATGACTCATCTAGAATAATCTTTTATAGTAAACTAGCGGCTCAATAGTAAAAATATTTTTTATACAAATCTAGCTCATTTACTTACAACCATTGCGTATAACTTTTATATGGTAAAAAATATTTGTCTCGAACGAGATTCGAATCTACTTATAATTAAATATTTTAACAACAGCTTTACTTTGGTTTCCTTGTAACTCACTGATTCAAAAGTTTAATATTTAATTTCACATACACAGGCCAAAGAAATATGATGTAATAATTACTAATATAATATATCTAATATATTTAAAAGAGCAATTCTTGTAAATTTATTTATTTATTTATACCGGAGATCTCGGAAACTGCTCTAAGGATTTCGCTGAAATTTGGTATGTTTGGTTTGGTTTGGTGGTTTTCGGGGGCGAAAAACGATCTAGATTAGTCTTATTTTGGGATAACACATATTTTCGAATTTTCATGCGGTTTTCTTTCGCATTATTCTACGCAAAATATGGTCGCCAACTTCGCACACTCGGGTGTAAAGTCTAGTTCGCATTAAGCTAGTATTTTAGTCTAGTAGCGAGTAATTTAGTAACTAAACGTGTCTGAACACTAAAAATTTAGTCGATTAGTTTAGTAAGTAATTTAGTCGAGTCAATCCATTTTATTCTATTTTTTTGGGCGAGTAGCAGCCCCCACCACGCGTCCGAGCTCACTGGTTCACCGGCTAAACAAGTACGAACCTGTCGAATTAGTCGAGTTCATTAGTTGCCGCCATAATGTCGTTTCGCTGGAGCGAAGAAATGACTTTTAAATTTGTTTCGAAATATGTTGAACACGAATGCTTGTGGAATATTTTTAAGACAATTAGTAGCTCCTAGTTTATCTCGTCTTTCGATCCATTTTCGTACCCATAGCTTCTTTTTATTAATCACACAAATTTCCTCATCCACCTCTTCTAAAATAGCCGTTACGATCAGCTTAATCAGTTTATTTACTTTATTGCGTTGTAGGCTGTTCATCTTGCAAAACACCACTCACTTGTAAACTGTACTCGACCAAAGTGCGAACGGTTTTTGGAGAGTAGCGAGTAATTTAGCTACTAAATTACTCGCTACTAGACTAAAATACTAGCTTAATGCGAACTAGGCTTAAGCGTTGTGGTCAAGTGGCCAAGGTGCAAGATTGACAATCACAGGAGTTTGCATCCCGGTCAGATACAAAGTTTTACTTAAGATTTTTTTTGTATTTATTCAAGTGTTTTTTTATCTAAAAAACTCCGAGCGAAGCTCGGTCGTTCATGTACTTATGTATAATATAGTATGTAGCTTTAGTTAGTTAGTTTTTAATACGAGAATATTATTATTTGAGTTATATATAGTTTTAATCTATACTAATATAATAAAAATGTTTGGTTTATAATATGTTTATATACACCCTATACGGCAATCATTTTGATGTAAGTTCAAATTACTGACATTTTATGTTTATATTTATGTAAAATAAATTCTTAATAGAATATTAAATCTTATTAAGAAAATATCTATAATAATAATTCGTTGTTTTTTTGATATATTATATTACTAGTAGAACCCGCGGCTTCGCTCCCGCTAAAACTACAAAAAAAAATCTTTAAAAAGGTAGTTTCATACAAACTTTCATCTCCTATTTTACCCCCTTATAGGATGAATTTTGAAAAATCCTAAAACATGTATTTATTTAATTTTATTGAAGAGCATTAGTACCAAGTTTCAAGTAATTCTTTAATAAATATTTTTTATTGTATTATAACGTGCTTTATCGTGGGAATCAGATAATTTCCCGCAGTATAAAGTAGCCTATGTCACCCTCCAGTCCTCCAGTTATCTCCACACAAAAAATCACGCCAATCCGTCGCTCCGTTTGACGTGAAAGAAGGACAAACAATCAAACAAACAAACAAACAAACAAACAAACAAACAAACAAACACATTTTAGCATTTATAATAGTAGTATGGATTAAGTATAATAAATCAAATAAACAACTAATTATTATAAATATTTTCATATATATTTATATCAGTTAAAAACATTACCTACATATTGTCGACCGTCGTTAACTGCATAGAGTAGGTATGTAACCCTTTATCTGATTGAAAATTTCAAAGTACCGTATAAAAATATCTGTGTTGCCACTGCATTTATACAAATAATTATATTTTGTTTTTTTTTTTAATTTACTAATAACAAATAATAAATAAAAGATTAAAATTATTTACGTATTTTTTAATAATAATAATATACTTAGAAATGTCTTAATAATAAAAACTAAGAGATAAATGAGAAGAATGAATAATAAATCTGACTTTAATAGGTTTCATCCATCTTTTTAATGACTTTAGCTTATTGTCGTTAGAATAAGTTATTGAATAAAATTTTAATATTATGTGTATATTCTTAAACTTGTTACGAATATTTTTGTTTTTTATTCTATTCCACATGCAAAATGTAATTTATAATTCTATCATTAAATACCAAGTTTTATTTTTAAAAATATATTTCATACCTGTTCTACTAAAATACTTTCTTTATATTTCTGGATTGACCTGTTTTACATGCATTAATTACCACAAGTATTTTATTAATACATTAAGTTTTTTTTATTATAATATAATTTAAAGACACGTCTTGGTTTAATTCGTGTTGCGGACTAGTATGATTCTGATGACTCTATTAGGACATAAGATGTATAGTGGATAAAGTCATTTCTACTATAATAGAAACTCTATTTTGACATACGTATTAAGTCCTTGACTTTTTCTTATCGTATAAGACTTTCAGAGACAGTGGTAGGCGGTAGCCCAGTGGTGACACGCTCGCTTGGGAAATCGAGTAAAGTGGATTCAAATCTCGGGTCTTGCACGTTTGATATTTTCATGTGCGAATCATTTCCAACATGATTACCACTTGAATTACGTAGAACAAAAACCTCGGGAGGAACCCTGCATCTCTGAAAGAACCTAGCAAGTTTTCGAAAATCATGTGAAATCCACCAACCCATGCTTGGCCAGCGTAGTGGACAATGATCTGAACTCCCTCATATCGAAAAAGTCTATGCTCAGCAATGTGAAGTTAAAAAGGGCTGAATACAAGGCTTTCAGCTCATCAGACTGTAAGAGTAAGAGGTATGTATCTATCACGTCACATGCTACACTTAGGTATAATCTCCTCTGTTTATTTATTTCTCCATCAGATCGGAACAAACAGCATTTTGGCCAAGTACGGTGTTATTTTGAGCATTATTACGTAATATATTTTTTTCATTCATTTAACGAAGATATACTAAGTGATCTGATATGGCATTCATGCTATTTATAGATATGGGTATGTTAATTCCATATATTCATAATATTTTATTTATTTTAGTTATATATACAACTAAAATAACCGATTGATATTAAAGCAAGCAATGTTTTAATATAGGTATATAATAAATGACATAATAATTGATATATTGATGCGTGCGCCATCGCCATGCGCCATGCGCCAATTAAAAAAAATTAGCCGATGTTCTTTTAATAAAAATGTTGAGAAATTATTTGATTTAAAATTATTTAAATGACAAAAAATAATATTGTACAAAATTTTTAAACTAAACAAAAAAGTAGTTAATAGTTTTTCCTAGACCCATATGGATTTCAAATCAATCCTGGGATTCATCCGAAATTTTCTAAGTCATCATAATATGAAATCTTCACTTATCTATAATATTTAAATGAATCATCTATTGATGATCAACATTATATTTAATATTTAACAAAACATTATTACCATAATGTACTCGGCTACTTAGATCCGCATATAAAAATATCGGTGACACGAGGTGAGCATCGTGACCGGACATCGGATGGTTATCTTGCAAGGTTTTGAAATCCAACAAAATATATGTTAACTAGCGACTCACCCTCGTTTCGCTCGGGTTCGTCCCTAAGTTGATTCCCCATACAAAATTTTATCCCCATCTTCACCCCCTTAAGGATAAAAGTATCCTATATCCTTCCCAGAGTCTCAAACTATCTTCTTACCAAATTTCATCTAAATCGATTCAGTAGCTCCAGAGATTACCCCCCTACAACGTCACAAACTCACAATTCACAAACTTTACCTGTTTATTATATTAGTATTGATAATTGTATATACATAAATAAGTTTTTGTTTTTTTTTA